GCAGTATGGTTGCCACACTATAGGATGGATATGGAGGCTTTGTAGAGAATGCAAAAGAGGATTACCAGGATATTGGCTGGATTGAAGTGTATTAGGTATAATGACAGCTTGGACAATCTTGGATTGATTTCAGTGGAGTGTCAGAGGCTCAGGGGCAACCTGGTAGAACTATATAAAATTATGAGAGTTATGAATAGGGTGGATAGTCCGATTCTTTTTCCCAGGATGGAAAAGTCAAATACTAGGGGGTATGACTTTAAGGTGAGAGGGGAGAAGTTCAAAAGAGATGTGCGAGTAAAGTTTTTGTTTTTGCACAGAGGGTGGAGGTGGTAGAAGCAGATATGTTAGCAAAGTTTCAGAGACATTTAGACAGAAACATGAATAGATGCGTAAGGGATATGGACTACGTGCAGGGTGATGGTATTAGTTTAGAATTGTATCATGGTTGGCAGAGACATGATGGGCTAAAGGGCCTGTTGTACTATTCTATATTCTACATTCTAACACCAAGACTGCATTCTGACCAAGAATAAGTATCAGGAGATTTAATTACAGAGCAACTTAAAACTCTCTCAGAAACTGATTTTACCTGCATTCAAGCTGGTTGACACACTGACTTTCCTGTTGGTTTGCAAAGTACAGTTGCTATTCAAGATGGAGTTGATACCTTTAAACAAGAATATCATTTTGTAACACTGAAGACATCATTTAACTCTGAAAGTGACATGCTCTCCTGTTCATAGCTACCTTAAATCATTACACCTCCATTAGCACTTGGAAAGAAAAATTAGTAGAAAATGTTCCAGATAGCATTTAGTAGTAAAAGTTTTGTATCTGAGATACCTAGAATTTAAGTTTTAATAGAGTCTAAAACCAACATATTCTTTAACAGGTTATACAATAGATTATCAATAGTTAAGCATAATTCTTTCTCCAGATCATAAATTATTTGATCCAGAGCCATTAAACTTGCCAGTATGATCAATCATTTACGCTACCATCAAGGCAGAATTCAAACATTAGTTTCTTTTCTTAGCAAATATTGTTTAAAAAAAAAACTTACCACTTTCATACTGTAGGTCCAGTTGCAGACAACATTTGTTGTTTACAACATTGAAGAAGTGTGAATTGTCCGGCAACGCAGATTCATTCTGGTAAGTTGTGAATTGCTTTCAGCACCTCTCAGTTTCATCTTGCATCTGTTTATGGAAAGTCACTTACAGCAATGTCACAATGATAGAACAGTGAAAACGATGGCACATTGAATAAAACACCATTAATTACATGGAACTGACAGTGTAGATACAAATCTTTCGGCCTAACTATCCGTGTATGTATATATGATCCATACAGGTCTCCTCCCACTCCTCATCAGCCGTCAGTATATCCTCTGTTTCTTTCTCCCTCAAATGCTTATCAAGCCATTTCTTAAATGCACGTATGCTATTACTCTTAAAAATCCACTGTGACATCCAGTTCCAGCTTCAAATTACTCTCTGGTTAAGACATTCTCCTGAATTCCCTGAAATTCATACAGATCACAACTTTCCTTCCTTAATATATGGTGTTTTTTTCTCCCAAAGACAGGCTTAGAAGAGGTTTCAAATAATTGTAAAAGTTTTTAAAACAAGTCATTAGATGACCAAAAACAAAAGTTGCTGGAAAATCTCAGCAGGTCTGGCAGCATCTGTGAAGAAAAAAATCAGAGTTAACGTTTCGGGTTAAGTGTGTTGCGAGAAAGGGTCACCAAAACATTAACTCTGATTTTTTTCTTCACAGATGCTGCCAGATCTGCTGAGCTTTTCCAGTAATTTCTGTTTTGTTCCTGATTTACAGCATCCACAGTTTTTTTTCGGTTTTCACTAGATGACCATATAGCTAAATATTGGTGACTGTTGAGCACCAGTTTCTCACAATAAAAAGAGGCATGCTGAGAAGTCAACAGATATAACAAAAAAGCATCGGACACTTTCTAAATGAAAATTTAATTACAAGACATCATTGACCTATAGAATGAAACAGCACATTTGGAGGCCATTTGGCCCACTGAGTGTGTCAGCTCTTTGAAAGGCATCAAATTAGTCCCACTCATCTATCCTTTCCCCAGAGACTTACTTTTCTTTTTGCTTTAAGTATTCATCCATTTTCCCTCTGTAAATTATTATTGAATCTCCACCATCCTTTTTCAGGAAGTGCACTCTAGTTCAAAACTACCTAGCAAAATGTTTTAAGGCATGAGTTGATCATCATAGCATTCATTTCAATAATCTCCCTATGTGTAAATAAGGTGTCAATGTGCATTTGAAGAAATGTTTTAGAAGCATTAGAAAATGTTAAAGGGGTAGTGCTCTACTGGTCAATCCAGCCAGTTCCATTTAAATATTGCTTTGAATTTCTGGTGTTTCATATCATCATCTATTCATATTATTCTGATAAAATGCGATTGGCCTGAAAATAAACTTATTTAGCCCTCTATAGACGTTACCTAACATCCCCACTGAACGTCTTTTCATTGTGCAAGGCCAGTAGTTTTGAATACATGCATTTTTTTTATTGACAGCATCTTAGATTTGTGAGCTGCCTATGTGATACTTTCTAGGTTGCAACATGCCCATGAATTACTGCTGCTATTTCCAGCATCTACAATTTTATTTCAGATTTCTAGCATCCACAGCATTTTGCTTGCCTACCCATTTAATTCAGGGGGGGATGTGCACTCATGTCTGTAAATCCCTATAACATAACATTTCCAGATCATATGGAATTACTGCTTCTAAAGAGGAAATTAAAGATTGGAGTTCTGACAAAAGCTGCTTATCGGACAACTTTTTACAGACTTGTCAGTGTGTGACTATCTTCCATTAAAAGGGTAAAATTATGCTGTAATACCTGTATTGCTGGTTTCTGACTTGCAGTAACTCAGTTCTAAACATTTACAAATGGAATCAGGTTGTGGACCTCATCAGTGTGATTTAAGAAGCTTTGGGGAGGCACAGTCCATCCTGGATGGCATATCATTTCAATGTGGTGTAAAGTTGGATTCTAAAATGCTTGCACCATCTATTCACCTTATAGATTGAAGTAGAGCTTTCTTTTCAAAAGTTTTGATAGCACTGATTCTGGTGCAAAAACATTCAAAATTTGTCAGTCGGATATTGTCTGCACATAGGTAAGCATTTGCATCCAGAATGATTGATCAGTGGTTAGCACTGCTGCCTCACAGCGTCGGGGACCCAGGTTCGATTCCACCCTCAGGTGACTGTGTGGAGTTTGCACATTCTCCCAGTTTCTGCTAGGTGCTCTGGTTTCCTCCCACTGTTCAAAGATGTGCAAGTTAGGTGGATTGGCCATACTAAGATGCCCCATAATGTCCATGAACATGCAGATTAGGTGTGTTAGCCATTGGAAATGTAGGGTTACAGAGAAAGAGTGGGTGGGATGCCCTTCGGAGGGTCGGTGTGGGCTTATTGGGCCAAATGCCTGTTTCCACACTGTAGGGATTCTATGAAAAAAAAATCTCACTTCTGATAAAGCAAAGTATGATTCAGCTTTTAAAACTCAGGAATTGTTATTCTGAAACATTCCTTCCAGGTTTTGGACTTTTAATAATTTCACAATCCTACAAAATAATCAATGCATTGGAAAATCTAAAATAAGGAGTGGATATTTCAGATGAAGATCAATGGACTGCAACTACATTCAGATTACCAGATACCTCGCATTCAAGAATGAGTTATAGTGCTATGGTTAAAAGTATTTAAATCCCATAAAACTTGCCACCTTTCTGTGAAATACAGATACATATTTTAAATTTTGCCTATGTAAATACAGAGTCAAATGTGTTTCATGTAGTCATTAACAATCATTTTCATTTAAGTGGGTAACTTTCAAAATGTCATTTAATAAATGTAAAACAATATTAAATGCAAATGATATTATGTCATGAAATAATGAAAAAAAAACTTAAATTTATTAACTAGTAAAACCATCATGGTTAGTTGCTTTTTGTTGATATGCTGTATCAAGGTATGTCCTAATGCCATGGACTCCAGCCTGCATCACTATCTCCGATAGTTAGGTGACTGTAATGCAATCCTGAGACTGTTCCATCTAGCTAAACTGCTCTTACTGGGAGTTTGCTGCTTGTCAAGCTGGACCTTATCCAAGAGTAGCAAGACTTTGTTTTCACCGGCACATTATGAACCAGCACTCTCGACAAATCAGCTAAATTTATATACCTCAAATACCATTAAGTTTGCCATATTGTTCTGTCCAATTATTATAGTTTTATAATTTATTTACCTCAGTGTAAATAAACTTGTTGTTCAATTGGATGGCCATACTAAATATCAACAGTTGATTCAATTTCAAGTCAATTTCTCCTCAAATATCGTGATGTTCGAGTAGTCAGTTAAGGGTGCCAGTGAGAAGGTTCTCTGCCGCTTCAGTTTTATTTAAGGCAAAGTTGCATGATTATTTACAGTATAAATTGCTTCAGAAAGTATAACAGTGCTTTGGACATTTCCTGCATTACATTTCTATTACTTAGTGTGCGTTTTTACATTATGTGGACCACTTGATTATCTGGAATATTTGATAAACCGGCACACTTCTGGTCGCACAGGTGTCAGTTAATAAAAAGTTTGCTGTATTCACACTCTGATATACAGAATAGTGATTCAGCTCTTGGGTGCAGGGTTCCCATTTTTCTCCTCTTTGAGTCTCAATAGTATTTGACTGTTGATGTCAGAGTTGCATCATCATGTGCATCGTTATCAATGTATAAATTCCCATTAATAAGCAGATACAGAAAAAGATTTGAAGACAAATGGAAAGATTGAGAATGGGCCAAGTAAACCTCATCATTCATAATACAGGCTCCTAATTACAGGTAAGAAATATGAACTGATGGCCAAAAATATATTCCAATGTCACCAAGGAAAGACAAAATGACAGACGTATTAGGCATTTTTTTTTCAAACACTTTTATTGATATCTTGTGTCTACATTAACTTACATGTGGGTTGCCATAGTAACCTAAACTCCAGTAGGTGAGGTTATTAAAACTAAACCTGCGCACAGCGCAGAGTTTACAACTACATTTCATATGGAGATCAAAACAGTTCTAAAAAAATGTACCTTGTATTTGAGTGCACATCGTGATACTTTGTTACATAATATCAGGCATAGTCAAGCCACACAATCAGATTTTATCTCATTTCAACTGACATTGGTTGCATAGCCTGTAGGCCAGCATGAGGCAGCATCAGATACACATGCATCATATTTAAAAAAGAAATATCTGCCTGGAGTGGGCACCATGGTTATTTGACCTAAATTACATTATAGTACAGCATCAGCCAACTAGCAGACACCCTGTACAATGGGAAGGTTCATTTTGAAAGGGGAATTTTCCTCAGACACCAGTTCATTCCCCATGCATTTATATAGAGTTTATACAATTCAGAAAAAAAGGGATAAAGGAATCATTTAGTATTATCAGAACATCTGCAATACAGCATCTACTGTATTCCTGTACATATGAAAAACATTTTGCACATTTCAGTTGGTAACAATGTAAAGTTAATAATTAGAATTAATTTTCTAGTAATGGACTCCAACTGTTGCAGTAAGTTATTTTGTTCAATTCTTCATGCACCATGTCTGTTTAAAAAAGTGCAGCAATGAATAATAATGACTTCTGTGATTCTTTGCATTATTTGAAAAGAAACAAACGAGTTTAATGACCCACATGAGGCAGACACTGTCCCTTTTAAACTATACTGTCATCATATTCACATTTTCAAATCCTGCAAACCGTAAAGTGATCATCGCTCCACGTCTTGTAGCACGACGGCAATCAATGTAATAAAAAAACTCTTACCACAAACTTTTGAAAATGTTCAGCCCATAGAACTCCTCTGAACAACAAATTCCTTTAATATGATTTTAACAATAAAGAGAATTCAATATGTGGTTTGATGTTTGAATATCAAAAGATAAATGACTCCACAAGACTTTATATGGGTTGTCGAACTTTTTCAGAAATAATACTACTTTCAAGGAAAAGAAAATACAACAATACACCTTTTACCTTGAGTAATAAGAACTTGTAAGGAGGATGACCACTGTGGATTGACAGCACACATTATAGATTTAACAGTAGGTGTACAAAAATAACGTTGAAACGTATTCCGCCAGGAATGGTGAAAAAAACTCCTAAAATCCACAGCCTAGAAATTTGGGTGCACCGTATTTGGGCATGGTGGTGGTAGGTTTTTGTTTGTGTGTGTGTGGTATTTACAACATGAACCCCCTACACCTGAATGTTCAGATCTGAGGCACATCTGTTATTCTACATCAGGTCTCATTAATATTGTACAGTATATAGTAAACAGGTCAACAGTGAAGCACGACTAATGATTGACCTGCTGTGACAACAAGAGAGGCTGCCCAATATTAGGGATTGATCATATTGGGAAAGAAAAAATGTCAAGATAAGGGTTTAAAGGGTAGGAGTTAGTGCTGGTGACCAGCAAAGGAAGACAGCAGCATCGATAAAGACTGGGAAAACAATGGCAATTCACTTTCCGTGCTGAATGTGGGATCATAATTGGAATTCCTACTCCTCCTGGTTCGACATGTAAATAGATTTTGAAACCTTATTGATTAGAGTATAACAGGTGGTTCCTTTTAGACCCTCTACATTACCGTACGTTTATTTTACTTGAGTGTAGCTGGTGCCAGCACCAGCTAACTCAGGCAAAAGCAGCACAAAACAGCAAACTGCAGATACTGGAAATCTGAAATAAAACAGAAAATGCAGGAAATACTCAGCAAATCAGCAGCAGCTGTGGAATGAGAAACAATGTCAATGTTTCATGTCAACATGAGTTTGCAAATCTGAAATGAGAGTCTGGCCAATACAGGGGTTTCAAATAAAGTAGAGCAGATGGCTACTCCACCATTTTCTCATTTCACCTGAGTTCTCCCCATTACAGATGGTGAATGGGTCCTGAAATCAGCAGCCTGCCCATCATATCTCGATTAGTAGGGGAATCAAGGATTACAGGGAAAGGGCAGTAAAGTGTACTTGGATGTGTTGGATCAGCCATGATCATATTGAATGGTGCAGCAGGCTTAAGGGGCCGAATGGCTTACTCCTGCTCCTATTTCTTATGTTAAGAAATAATGAGTGTTCAATTGATCTCGTTAAAAGATCAATTCCCCCCCCAATATTATACACCCATGACATAAAATAGTTGGGATGAGCAGGTGAGTGGGATTCTGGCAGCCCATTTTTTAAGAAAGTTTTAAAAGGGTGGGAAGGAATGTCACATCCATCTGCAAGGCCACACAGACAGCAGGAGGCCCACCTCCTTCCACATGGCGTTAAAAATTCATTTTCCACTTCCACCATGCGTAACTTACCTGGATGTAGGATCCAGTGGGCTTTCTTCATGGTTCTTTCAAATCTATCAGTGCTCACCACGGAGCTCTGCTCCGGCACTTAGCTTTCAGAGCTACCAGCTATGCAGATGGGACTTCCCCCAACTGAGGGCTGGAAGTAGCACTTTGCAGTAATGTGGCCTGCTCACCGTGCTTTCTTGCTGCAGGACAAGCTTGTTATTCGTCTGTCAATCGTCGCTGTTTTCCTTCCAGGAGTGGAGGCAGGCGATGCAGGATCTGTCTGCCATCTGTAAATCTTTACCTTTAACTATGTTTCTCTCTCCACATATGCTAACTGGCTCGCCAAGTATTTCCATAATTTTCTATTTCTTCCTTGAGGATAAACCAAATCTGTAGTGGGAGGTCTGAAGGAAGGGTTAGACTTCTTGTCTGTATGATTTTTTGACTCTACTAGCAAACTTTCTGCTTGTGTTCATCATGCACATTCTACCTACTATACTAAATTTAACAGGCTGTGCAGCTTGGTTTCTAGACCAATATTAGGAATACCATATACACAACCATATGCAGCATAGCTCTGTGTTATCAGGAATGGTGCTTCATCTACCTTGGTCTGATTTTAGATTTATGCTAAATTTGGGAATCACTAAAACATATGCTAATCATGGTTTTTCATTTTATGGATAAACAAGAGACAAAGGTGGACAAAGTCCCTCAAGAACTTGGATATAGATCAGAGTAAACGAGGCAATGCATGTCAAAATGGATCCTAAACACACTTACTTGTTGTTAATATGTTTTGCAATACAGGAGACTGTTTCTGAAAATGTAATTTAACTCTTAAGTCATATCAATACACAGATTTCAGAAGTGTCATATCAATACAAAATGACTAGAAATAATTACTTCGAAAAATGTTTACTATAATTCATTGGACCAGATCTATTTTACTGTTGTTCTATACTTTTAGAATTCTTTTGGTCACAAGTTATTTTCAAGCACAGGGTCACTTTACCACCTTCATTACAATAATGATTACTATATCATGGTAAAACTCACTGTTCTACCTTAAAAAAGAATCAACAAATTTAAACCAAATCATCCTTCACTCATAGTAACACTTGTTATAAGAAAAGTAAGAAATAAAATAAACAGCTAAGTCAGTAAATTCCATGTAAATAAATACAAAAATCCACCTTTACAAAACATCCAATAGAATAAATTTTGTTTTAGAATTTGTCCTAAGACTTTGGATAATCCATATAGGACATTTTACAATTTCTTAAACTGGATAGCTGTGGGATATCTCTGTAAGAATAACACATTAAGAATGGTACTGTATTCTAAGAAGATTAGCCCAGTTTAATGGGAATATATTTTCATTTAGACTGCTTCAACAGTGTCATGTGAGGAATTCAAAGTTGATTCGCAGAGTGTCACCCAGTTGTCGGCACAGAATTTGAATTATGTATTTAAGTAACTTGTCTCTTCCCTTCTGACAGATACAGGCACACATGCTCTCAATCACTCATTTATTCATGGCTTGCAAACTTACTTTCAGGCCTGCACTACTATTTCCTGATTCTAGCACTTTTCTGCAATTCTGCTCAACTGATCTTTGATGCTATACATAATGCAAACTCTGAAAACAAAACCTTGTTATCTCAGATTCTCCAGCATCTGCAGTTCCTACTATCTATGCCATATAACTGAGCAGATTTAAGAAAGCCTTTCAACTAATAATATGCTGGAAAAACTATGCAATACTGAACACAGGCACAAAAATAGTAAGCAGCTGAACAGTGTCAAAATATCCAATTTTGTTTTGCAGTACCAATGTTTCTTCAACTATTTTTAATTGAAAATATAGTCTCAAGTATTAAAGGCAACACAAAAATGTGGCAATGAGTTTAGAATTTTAAAAGAATTACTTTAGTACAAAAAGCAAAACCTATGCTTATCAATATGATACTGCTGCATATGGAGTGATTGACATTAAAAACCCATCAAGTCCGAATTGTGACTTTACTGCAAACGATCTGACATTTGATTCTACCATTCACATTAAACATGGTTTCAGTGCACGACAAAAAAGCAAGGTGAATGCAGTATCTCAGGGTGATCTGTTCATAGAATAACGATGTTATTGGATCAAATTTTTCAACACTTATCAAAACAGCCAAAGTCTACATTAGAATTATTCATGGCTCTGTCTATCTATTTCCCACAATTGAAGTGGATTGGGGGATGTAGGCTGGGTCTGTCTTAAGACAATATATCGTGGGCTTATGGATGAATTGCACTGAAATATTCTGTCAATATTTTACAATGCACTGGTATGTGTCTGGCTATTTGTGGTTACACAATGCAAATAGCTCATCGATCACACACATCTCATTTTAATTTATTAAATATTGTTAAATAATTTCAGATTGACAACACAAACTTTGGAGCTAATAGGAAGTTTTGTTCTTTTTAGAAATTCATTTCTTTTAAGAAGAGGTCGTATCAATCATATTAAAGCACCTTCATTTTGGTATCACATCTTATTGCATCTGACTGCATTGACATAGTACACGTTGGCAGATGTATTATAAATCTAGGAATTATCCACGCAGGGACACAGTCAGGTAAGATGCGCTAATGGAGTAAGTTACTAAAGTTTAATTTCCTTGAAAATTCTCAAGCACATTGTTTTTCCTCCAGAATTCATTACACGTCTTAGAAACATTGGTTTCCATAAGACTAATAAAACAGCACTAATAGAATCCACAATTCTGGGAGGGAACATCTACGGAACCAAGTTATCATAAATTTCATGTTGAAAAGCACTGAGGCCTGACAACACTTTTTTTGTTTCTGAAACATCAGAATTCAATCCCCTACCACCCCCAATATATCCCAACATTACTTTAAACACGTCAAGTCCAGAGTGGCCAATGAAATGAATGCTCAACAATGCTGGTCAATCTTGGAGCAAGATGAAGAAGCAATTCAGCATCAAATCAACCTACGCACCATACTTGCCGATTCAGTCAGCTCACAATAACATGTCATAAATAAACTATTTAAATATTAATTTTTTTGAACTATGGGAACAGGAGATAATTTGTTTAGTTCTAAACAGTTTGCATCAGATGAGCCTCCATTTCCAAGGTTTTTATTCTTGCACATATTATTGCAAATTATCTACCAACGTTTGTTTAAAGAGTCAGCATATATGAGTTCAAAGACGATACTGGGACCTGGGTGGATTAAAGTGCTTGGCTGTTGCCACTTCATTTTATCAGTTCTCTAGACCTATTCCACCAAGCAGCATGTGTGTTCCTGCACAACACTCCTGTTATCACATTTATCTCTGTTCTCATGAGCTACTCTCATCGAGCGTTGGTCACTAAACATTATATCCTTGTATCTTCCATGTGCTATGTCAGCAAGAAGGGTGTTTTCTGTTCTTCAAAATGCCAGGACATCTAAGTTAAAAATCCCACTGAACCCAATAAGATCCTGCTTGGCCTTAGGCCAAATCCAACAGGGAAATTCAAGATAAATCCTTAACTCCTCCTTTTAATAATTTATAGCTATGGACTCCTGCTGAGAAATTTAAATCTCATTAAACCAGTCAAAATTATTAACATATATATACATAGAAAGAAAACTGTACTAATCTGTTTTTTTTTAAAATTTTCTACAATACAACTGTAGAAATAAAAGTTGAACATGGCATACTTCTGCAGCACTGCTAAACGTGACAACATACATCTCATCAGCCTTGCACTCCCCTGCAATTCCCTCAGTACTTTAATGGTACTGATAATGACACTTTCATCTGCAGCAAACTGTTATCTTTTTAACACAGAACACGGAATGCCTCACAGTCAGGTTCCACACATGCATTCTGTGAGCATCAGGTGAGCAATTTGCAGCATCTAGACATGCTGCAATGAGAGTTACAGAACACAGATATGCTTTTGCTCTATACATTCTGTGACCTGCCTATAATAGATTGTTTAGTCTGTATATACAATAATATAAATATCTAAGTCAGTCACATCACGATTCCAGTTACTTCTCTGTAGGTTTTCAATTTTCTACTGTACAACTGTAGAACTAAAACTGAACAGACTGACATGCCATACATCTGCAAGTCACTTGTAATTTAGAATGTCTTCAAGTTTTACCAATACAGATATTCACAGTTTCTTTATCCATCATTGAGCCAGAATCAATACATTTGATTAATCTGTTAATAATAATAAATGGTGTTTTTGCAGGCACAATGACCTGTAGTTTCAAGATCCTCATCCTGCTCCTATTTGTGTTTGATAAATATCTTACTTTAACACAGAGCACATGGAATTTCAATTTACATGTCTTCCACAACAGAGACAGCCCACAAATCATTACATGCTTTTGTTACATGTTAAAGCTTACAGTACAACATTCTAGGATTTACAAGGAGTGTGTAGTCAGATTAGCGAGGCTGTTGTCTTCTCATGATGCTTCAGTGCTGTCAGGATTTAACTCTGCCACAGTTTCTAATCAGTAAAGGATCTTGATTTTGTCAATTGTGATTCTGCTGACGGGGCAGCAGTCCTGAAGGTCCAACTCAGCGTGTGATTCCAGTGTTCTTTTTTAAATTTCTATATATATATATATATATATATATATATAGCTACATATATATATTTCTATATATATATATATATAAGATTCATATAATTTATACATAACTATATTGCACACTATTCCCTCTTCGGCCTTGGTAATGCCCATCAGTGAAACCGATCTCGTTTGTCTGTTTCAGAACTGTAATCACGCAAACCGATGCCTTTTTGTAGAGTTACTAACGAGTCTCTCATCTGTAGGATCAATTTTAAAAGAATAAATAAATGAAATTCCAAAGTCTACCTTAGCAACTCAACTTTCAGCATCTTATACAAAGGAGGCTTGAATCCAGCCTGGCTGATGACCAGGTCTTCAAGACAAAGCAGAAGCCCAAGTTCCATTTCTGCCAATGTTAACACACACCCTTAATGGATTATGCATTGATTATAGAGAAACATTACAGCAATGTGCTGCTCCCTTTACTCAATCAGAGAAATCAAGAATGAACACAGTCTTCATGAAGACCACTGAACGTTATAGTGAGGAAAGAACATGATCTTTACCAGGGTGGCACTGTACAAAAAATTGTAATGATTTGTGAAGCAAACATCACAACACACTGTGACGATTCAGGCAATATTCTCAAAAAATCTATTCCACTAATTGGTGGTCATTTAATACGCCTCGCAGATTCTCCCACAACCTGGAGAAGCTCTGATTGGCAGGCTGCAGCACTTGTCAAAATGTAATAACAGTCAAACATGCAATAACTTTCCTCACTTCATCAATTTAGTGTAAAATAATTTGCAGGGGTTAATCTTCCTCTCACCAGACTGAGATGAAATTCTGAAATGGTGATCTCTTCAGCTTCAACAGTTATTTTTGCAAAGGCAAGACTGACATGGCTGTTAAGATTTCCATGATTCACAACTGAGTGTTCACACTCTGAGATGTAGTTGAGATGCAGAATATAAGCACACCAGTTTGGACTACAGTGAGGTCTTCAGATTTAAGAACAAATTCCTCTAAATATGATGAATTTTCTGCTTAGAACAAAGGATGATGAGGTGGGAAATGGTACACTCTCATTTCAGTCAACTAAGTTAGAGTTTTCAATGGTTTCTTGTGGAAACAACTGGAAAGCTACCAGAGGCCACACTATACTGTATCTCCATTTTCCTGCTGTTTGCTGGTGACTCAGTCTGATGAAACCTAGGACCTAGTGTTGGAAGCAAGCACAATCCACCGAGATTACGTTAAAGCTCCCTCACTGATACCCCAATACGGCTCAAAGCTAATTGCCACAAAGTGCACATTGCATCATTATCTAGGGTTGTTTGCCTCCTCTGGCCCTTCTGAGTGAGGTTAACAATTTATCAGCAATTCATGCCATCTTAGGGACTGTTTTCTGAGACAATGCCCAGTGAGCAATGTATTAAAGTTTCCTAAATTCATTTGCATATGATGTTTTTAATCTTTGGAGAGACTTTTATTTCAATAAAAACTTACTCTGAAGCAAGCCTGAGGTGATCAAATGAACTTATCAACTACAGCAGTCAGCTCCGCAAATATTTAGTCCAGTATGTTTAACCAGTGTATTAATCTACTTCTATACACCACAAAAAATGTTTGCAGTCAATTCTAATAATTTTTTTCTTAAAAAGAATAAAGGAATGGAATGTACTCCAAATTTTATCTTCAACACACTACAGCTACAGAGAAGATCTGTTCCCAGTGTTTGCACTTGTCAATAGGAAATAAGTCACCTGATCTAGAAGCACCACTGATGATTTTAAAATCTCTTTCCATTTCTGCAGTTCAGCATCATGGTAACGTTGTTGTGACTCTAATAACTGGGCCCATTCCACCTGTGACTGGGGAAGTTTGCTGTATGGAAGAAAATAAATGTTCTAAAATTCGTACGAATTTGTCTAACCAATACAAATTTCAACAAGATTCATTCAGCCCCTGAATAAATTAAACATCATGTCAAGTTTAATAATTACGTTCACTTGTAACCCCTTGAGGAGATTCTTGAATTAAGCTGTGTTTATGCTCAACGACATTAAAAGATTAATAGCACAGATTTTAAATGTTAAAGATACAAAAAAAAACTCACAAGTGTACGCCAATGAAACTGGACCAACGGTTCTTACTTTGTCTAAGCAGAAGCGCTCATGAAAAACAGTCTGTTTCCAGATTGAAGCATTGAAATTACAGAACTTTTCTATATTTACAGAGCTACTGCCCACTGACTATTTCCATTGGTTCTAAGTAAATTGTCATGTTTAAGCTATGATTATTTAAGAGCACAAGTAGGAGCAGTATTGTGCAATCCAGCCCCTCAAGGATGCTGCACCATTCAATAAGATCATGGCTGATCTGATCAGATGTTAGCCTCAACTCCATTTACCAGTTTTGTTTCTCATAATCTGGCTCCTCTACAGTTCAAATATCATTTGAATGGATTAAAGGACGGAGTCTCCATGGTACTCTGGAATAGAGAAATCCAAAATGTCTCCATCTTCTAAGAGAGTAAATTTGTCATTTCTATTTTAACTGGGCGATACACTATTTTAAACTATGCTGCAGTTCTAGACTCCTCTGAGGGGAAACATCATCAGCATTTATCATGTTAAACTCCTTTAGAATCCTAGATGTTTCAATAAGATCATCCCTCATTTTTTAAAAATGCAAGAGTAGAAAATACCTCTCCTGGAACCTGATCCCATGCCAGGTAGTGAGACTCTGTGTTGTATATTCCAACATCCATAGCTTGTAAAATAGCATCATATTCAGAAATACTAATAACACCAAGCTGTGAAGAGAACAACAGTTAAGATTAGTACTGGAGAAGTAGGAGAAGGAGCATTTTATGTAGCTCTTTCAGCCTGCATCATCATTCAATATAATTGTGGCTGATCTGCTAACTCAATTCTACCTTTGTGAAATATCCCTACATTCCTAATTCCCTTACCTCTCAAAATTCTGCTTATCCATGTCCTGAATATACTTAATAAGGAGCATCCATAGACTGGGCTAGAAAATTCTAAAGATCCACAAATCTTTGAAAATTCCTTCTCATTTTAATCCTAAACGGTCAACCTCCTATTTCAAGGCCTTGACACCCAATTCTAGACTTCTCAATCAGAAGAAACATTCTTTCAACATATACCTTTATTAAACTCTTTTTGAACTGTCTAGGTTTCAATTAGATTACCTCTCATTATTCTAAACGGCAGAAAACGTGGAACCAGAGCACTAAATCTTTCCTCGTAGGGCATTGATTTCAGCGTTGGGAGTAATCTGGTGAATGTCCACTACGCAGCCTTTTAGGCATGTATATGTTTCCTTCGCCAAGGCGATCAAACAGCTGTCTCATTAAGGTCCTATTCAATTCCAATGAGGCTTCATCAGTCTTACATGCCCTTTTTAATAAAAGCCAACATTTCAATGCTTTCCTATTTGCTACTGTACCTGTGACATCATCCTGAATGATGAGACTACAGTGGTGCTGCTGCCTCACTTCACCAGGGACCTGAGGTCGATTCCAACCTGTCTGTGTGGAGTTTGCGTTCTTCCTGTGCCTGCATGGGTTTCTTCTTGGTGCTCTAGTTTCCTCCCAGAGACTAAAGATGTGCAGGTTAGGTGGACTGGCCATGCTAAAAATTGCCCCTTAGTGTCCAGGGCTGGACGAGTTAGTTCAGTTAGCCATGGTAAAACCCTATGCAGGGTTACACGGGTAGGGTGGGGTGAGGGTCAGGGATGCTCTTTGGAGGGTCAGTGCAGACTTGATGGACTGAATGGTCTCTTTCTGCACTGTAGGGATTCTACAATTCTATGAAAGGTGTATAGAAAAGTTAAAACAGACAGCCAGGGAACAATGCTCAGCAATATAACTATATTTGCTGGCTACAGTTCAAGGGCAGGTGACAACTTTAAATAAAAATAATATTTGAAAGCTATCTTTCAAAGAGGTTGATTGTTCATATGCAATTTCATTGTAACTTCATCTTACTTGGATTCAATACAGACGTTTTCCAATATTATGGTGAATAAAATTTGAATATAAAATTAAATATCATAGAAACCAATAATCCCTGAATATCATAGAAAGAATTTCATTTGTCCCATAATAATTCTCTCCTCTTGCAAGGTCTCGATTCCTTTCTGAGGTACTGTGATCTTAAGGACATCTATCTTCCACTGGGACCGAATTCAAGTGTCCATTAACAGAAAACTATAATGCAATGAGTATACAGCACAGGAACAGACTAGTGTTAATGCCTTCCTCTATCTTTTCTCATCTAAATTTGCTATCCGTTCTTTCTCATATCCCTGTCTAGCTTTGTTTCAAATGCATCTGTACTGACACAGTGTAGAGAGCCTGAATTATCCATCAGTACTATAAAAATGTTAGTTTATCGCTGTTTTAATTAACAAAGAGAGACAGTGTAAAAAATGACTTCTTATTAGAATAGAAATCAGGCAACATCCATTGCAAGTTCAGTTTGTGTGAGATTTGTTTGGAAATTTTAGAACAGGATGTTGAGCAATTCAATTTACTTTAACCTCTCTCTTAAATTGGACATTTAGTTTGTCTTTTTTAAAAACTGACATTGATTTGTATGAGATATAAAAGCTCAGTTATCCAAACCACTTCATTGTGTGCCTATTATGGAATGCATGCATTGTACAGAAAAACAAAACTGAAAGACAGTGCAAAAGAACTACAGATGTACCTTAAACAGATCCTAAAGTGAGCAGTAAATAGAAGAGGAAAATAGTAATCAGAAGGGAAAATGTATCAGAGGTCCTAGCACAGTGAGGTTAAAGCAATTAATAAAGCTTGCTTTTTCAAATGGAGAGGTTCAACAATTTATTAAAAAAAGTCAATCAGCATGATCAGGCTTATAAACAACATGTATAGGTCAAAAGCATCGCAAATCAATGTGAATCTATTTTAAATAAGGAAATTTGACAAGTAAGTTAGTTGATGTACATCTGTGCTTTGATTTGGTCAGAAAGTTTCTTTGTGAAATTTCTAAACATTCTTAGACAGTGAAAAGTACAACAGAACCTTAACCAATTTTAAGTTGAGGGTAGATTTAACCATTTGAGAAAAATAGTAAAACAGTTCCTACAATTTAGTTATTTGACACTAAGTATACAATCTCATATATCCATAAAGCCATATACTTACATGGGCCATGAATCTAGCCTATTCTCTGACCTATGTTTCACGTTAGGTTAGTTGCATACTGGGCATACTGAATTCAGGAACTGTCCTTTTTTATTTCAAAAATATACCTTATGCAAAAATTATCTCCAAGTAAAAAAAAAGTACAACACAGGGCTATACAGACTTTGCAGAAAATACCATGGAATTTTGACATTCCTCATTACAGCTTCAATCCTGTTGCAACAAAAGAGCTTTTTCCAGCCATGAAAGGTTAAGGTCCACTTTAAGGCAAACAAGGGGGGCTTGGATCTAAACAGACTCTTGTTATATTTTGGCAGAAAGACCTTAGATAGTGGCCATTCCCCACTACGCCTTGGCAGCTACTGCTGCAAGCTTCAGTGCATCCCTCAACTAGCAGTCCTGGAACTTTGAAGGTGTCAGTTTGGAATTATTATCTTGCAGTTCAAAAACAATACAATGCACCTGAACTTGCTGGAGGAATGAGATTCCACAGTGCCAACTGTTCCTCTTCTGGGTCAGGGTGAGCAAGTCAGGAATCAATGATTAAATGTGTGAGCCCTAACTAGCTGCATCAAGTTTAAGTTATCTTAAGGCACAAATGTAAAAGCTTCTTTCCAGCAACTTGAAATGATTAACAGCTTAGGAAATATGCCCCTCACCATAAATTACTGGGTCACCTGCACACTAATAATGGAGTGCATATTACATTCATCCTTAATTTTCCAGGAAATTCTGGGCTAATGATATTTTTTGTCATTTCCTTTCCTCAACAGAACAAAATCTTAAATGATCTCTTTGACATACTACAGTTACATACTACAAGTTCAGTACATTATTTATACACCTACATTCCTATCATATCTCTTCCAAGTTTCCTGGCATTTTCTGGAGCTGAAATTCCTTTCTGTCTTGATGCCACCAAGAGGGAATATAAACTATGGTATCTTCCACCATTCAAAACAAAATACATTATGAAGTTGTGCACTGGGCATACAAGTGAACTCACATTCTCACCAGTTCAACAAATTTTATCATTGACTGAATATTACGTGGTAAATCTTCGGTGTTTAGGAGTCAGCAAATTCCCCTTCTCTTTAGGGGGTGATATTCTGGTTCAGGTACAAAACAAAATGATACAGCACAGAAAGAAATAATGTTGCTTATTTCATCTTCATGTCTCTCTGACAGATCTACCATTTGGTTTTATTCCCCAAACTTCCATTTTCCACATACTGGGATACATCATCTTTAAACATTATTACAGATGCTGCTTCTGGTGTTGTTTCCAGGACAACATTCTATCCAATTACAAACGCACCCCACCCAATAAATAAGCAATTTAACCTATCTATTCCTTAGATGATGATACATTTTTATCTTTCAGAAATCTATTGACAACCAATAGAAATAACTTTCTCCCGTTTACTAACCAAAGCCCTTCAGAATTTTCAACAGCAAGTTTAAGCACCAAATTGTTAATCTGATGCTTTTTCTGGCAAAATAATTGAAATAAATTGTTTCCATTTAATTATAAATTTGCTGGGGATATTCAATAAATGATTTAGTTTACAAACACCACTCTTGTAGCTTCCTAGACATCAGAATCAACTGCAATGGGTCTGTCAGGCAAAACATCATGTACTGCTGTTACTCACACAAAGCTTATGATGAGCAATAACTTGGAAACACTGTAAAGTTGAATTCCTCCTGGAATTTCTTCTGGGATATGCTTAGTTTGTGTGGAACCTGTGGCAAAAAAGATTTTTTTTAATCTGAACAACCATGATGTTTCCAATAACTGCATTAGACAGTTTTTATGCATGAAGAACCAATATCATCCTAATACCCTGATTAAATTTCATCTAATTTGGCTGACAGCCTGAGTGCAAAAATAAGGTACAAAAGCAGAGTTTTAAGACAATGGGCCAAATTGCTTTGAAAATAATGGCATGTTAATGACACATTGTTTGTGCAAATCAGTCAACAAATTCAGGGAATGAAGAGATGGGGTTTGAACTGTGAATCTACAAATCCTTTGAGTCAATTTATTTGCTTTTCTATTTACATCATACAAACAACATCTTGCACTTGGCCTCCCGGTTATTTGTAAGAACATGCTTATTTGCACATTAGTTGCCCATCAACTTGCTGCAGAAAGTCAGGGCTCAGAATTAAAAGTGGGAGTATCCTTTTAAATATTTCTGCAATGCACCTCCAAGTTGCTCAGTCACATGACCACATGCAACAAACTGCAGGTGAAAGATTCTGAAGATTTCAGATATTTATTATTTTCTTGTCTGTCTCTTACGATTTTGTCCCTTAATGCAAACTTTCTCCTCCGCTCCTTATTTATTTTTCTGTACCCAATTTGAGTCTAATTCACACACACTGATTCACTCTCCTTCCCTTTTTGTCTCTTTTTCTTTTCCAATCATTAAATGCTACAGGTCAAGAAGAAACACCATTGATCCTGTCATTGACTGAGGATCCAGATGCCCCATTGACTTCACTTGTACAGCCAATGAGGTGTATATACAACAACATTTGAGTTGAAGGACGCAGACAAAAATCTAAGTAATGCTAGCAGGATACAATACAACTAGTTTAATATGATACAAGATCTACAAATAATTCAGTGACAAAGAAATTCTTTGCATGTGAGGGTATATAGAGAGAACTAGTTATTAAAATAAATAATGAATTGGTCACATGCTATAAGTGGATTATTTTTGCAACATCACAAGGTGATGCTATGACTCATATTCACTTCAAATTATCCATAAAGCACGTTTTTTATTTTAAAATATAAAAACGAGTAAGAAGGAGACTAGAGAGACACTGTTGCAATAACCACTGTTATTGTCACCACTGACATCAGTTCTTCACTTTCAATTTTACCTGCCACATGTTTAATCCTCTGGGCTACCTCTTCGTCAGTCGGCGTAGTAACAGGGCTGACCGTTTCAACAAGGTGTTGGCTTCGCACATGCATGTGAGGCCGTTTTCTCCTTCGAATTGTGGATGATTTGTTAGGCTTCTCTTTTGGAGATTGCCTGTGCAATTCAGCAGCATACTGTTTTTCTACTTTTGCAAGTTCAATATCTATGGACACCAAAAAGGAATGTCTGAAGTTGAAATCAATCAAACAAAACCACTCTGATTAAATACTATTAAGTAGACTAGAACCAATCTATTCACCATCTCTTGTTTAACACATTGCCTGTAACTGTATCTACTTTGTTCATAAGTTCAAATATTAAGTAAGAATGCACTACATCATGGGGAGTTTTGGCTCTTACTGACTGCCAATTCAAAGCACCTGTTCTTGTGTCCAGTCATCTCTTGAATTATTACAGTTAGTTTAGGAAGTAATTAGCAGTTAACACAATACTCCTCAAAAGGAGCATTATACCATTATCATTACTTCCAAGAGCACCCTAAAAATCAATTTGTTTGGACGTGTTATGATAGACCTTCAAGTAAGGTGGGACTCAAAATTCTTTTACAAGAACCCTGTTCGAAGTATTTTTTTAAATCGACCTGTTCAGCCCAGAGGTTGGGACACCGCCACTGCACCCTCAGTGTCCCCAGTAGGTTGCACTTCCATGGCATGCTTTGCAATCTTCAGTTATTATAAGAAACAATGACGTAGGTTGAAATTATTTGCATCTGGACAAAATAACACTCCTTACCAAGAAACAAATCTTGTTTATCAGTCTTCAATAACTTAATCTTAGTTACCATACCTTTAGCACAAATATAACATGAGGGAAACAATATAATGAAATTTCTACTCCTCGATTAATATCCAGAGATTAAGAAACAACACCATTAGATATTGACTAAGTGCAGAATTGTGTTTGGCTGTGTTGGGTAAAAAAATTTACCAGCTTCATAAATGAAAAACAGCTGCTTAGATGAGATACCATATTTCAGGCAGAACTCACAAAACTATACTTCACAACAAGAAATGAAGGGAGAAAATTAAATTTTGCTCACCTAAATGTCTAAAGTAGTCATCTAAACCACTCCAAAAATTCTTCTCAATGAATGATTTCACTAACCCCCATGGCTGTTTCCTATACTTCAGTTCGGTTGATATCCTGGATATAAGAAATTATATTAATTGATTAAATAAAATGTTTATAGTTTAGCTATCAAATATCCTGGATGTAAAAAGTTAGCTAATTGACTAAATAATACTTTTACAGTTCAGCTACCATGCAAAACTTCATTTACACATGCAGTTGGTAACACCATGGCAAAGTATACAATGTAAATAACTGACCTACTAAACTTACCAAAGATCAGAATGTTTGAATGGGATTTTCAACTCAATTGGGTTTTTGACAACTGTCTTTTGACAAGAACCCTGTTAAAGGTATTTTTTTTCAAATCAACCTGTTCAGCCCAGAGGGTGGGAAACTACCACTACACTGTATGTCCCCTGTAGGTTACACTTCCATTCTCCCTGTGTCTGTGTGGGTTTCCTCGCACAGTCCAAAGATGCGCAGGTTAGGTGGATTGGCCATGCTAAATCGCTCATAGTGTCCAGGGTTCTGCAGGCTAGGTCGATTAGCCATGGGAAATGCAAGGATACAGGGATGGGTGGGTCTGGACGGGCTGCTCTTCGGAGTGGTGGTATGGACGTGATGGGCCGAATGGCCTGCTTTCACTCTGTAAAAGGATTCTATGAAAGTCATTCTGAATACAGAGTAGCTGAGGTCAACTGATACTGATGTGCCAACTTTGTAGTCATTATCAAACAGCATGGAACAACTTTGCTGTTTGGCAAAGAAGTAAATCTGCGTTTTAGTATAGGTTGCTCCTCCGTGAGAAGATCTGTGAAGACCAAATTCAATTGAGGATAAGTAAAAACTCACACACTGCTTGTTACTTAGAACATGCTTTACTGTTTAATAATAGAGAATCAGTGAGTCACCAGTAATCTGCAACAAACATCGAATTGATCAAAACTCCAAACTTTAAGTCCTCTAATGACTGGCACTACAGGTTAAAATTAGTTGAACAGGGACAGCATTATTCTCGTGCAACTATATTTTGGTTACAATTTCTTTTAAAGAGTAGATGAGAGTCAATGTAGAAAAATTTGACACAATGGCAGATTTGTTCTGTGAGTTGTCCCATTAAAATGAAAGGAATTTGTAGCTTGATGACCAATGATGCTGACATTTGTTTGATAGATTTAGTGGCTCAAAAAACAGTCACTAGAACTGCATCCATTCCATCAATCAATGTTTAATGAATAGTTGGCAACCTGACCGCATTTCAACAGGTACAGTTGATTTTTTTTCCTTCCCTTCATCAAAGTTCAAAGGGAACTGCATGTGAATCTCAGGGAGGATACACTCAAACATTTCTAAGGCGATCTGAAGGAAGAAGGAACATAGGACCAGGTGTCACCTATTTAACCTCTTGATCCTATTCTACCATTCAATTCGATCACTATCAAGTTAGGAAATGCTTCCACACTCCAAGCATGGCTCAAATTTTAAACACTTTCCTGAAAACTGCAACTGATGCTCGAGCTGTTCTTAAGGTACTAAAGGATATGGAGAAAAGCCAGTTATGTGGAGTTACTTCATAGATCAGCCATGATCTCACTGAAACACCAGAACAAGCTCACAGGGTTAAATGGTTGATTCCAGCTCCTACTTCCAAAGGCTGATCAACATTTTAACTTTATTTATCAGTCTTGTTACTGTAATCCCTAATCCCCTTGCTGACAGGAATCTACTGATTAAGGAAGAATTTGCCATCGCTTCAAGCAGCATCTTCCAGGGATTCGAGGTTAAACCCAATTCCGGAGTACTCAAAACGCTTGGGTGTGGTTCCATTAACATATTTGATGGCCCTGATGTGTTGTCGAGTAAACTTCATAAGATGGCATCCAACACTTTGGGCCTCGGGAAGAAAATTCATTGCCAAAGAGATCAAAACCTCCAGGTGGAACAAGCAATGGGACTTCAGTGCACTGGAGCCCGTTTCTTTACAATCACATGCTGTTTCCTCTGATAGAGAAAGCATCATCTCTGGGAAACTGGTTGCTCCACATGGTTCCAAACAAACCAAGGGATGTAACCATACTTATTCCCTAGTAATGTAGATGAGGGACTGAAAGCTGAATAGGAGAACAAGACAGTGAACAGGGGAAAGTTGAAGAAAAGCTGAAGAAACCCACAGTTAATGATCAAGTACCTCAACTAGATCCATGTCCATGATCCCATAACAAAGTTACTTCAGCTCCAGTTGGCAGACTAATTTCCCCCTTGATCTGAGGAGGCTCTCTATTCTGTTTATTTCCAAAAGGCTTTGCTCTAGCCTCAGCAGTCTTGTTTTTACGGAGAGGGTTTCACATTTCTATTAGCCATTGTGTGAAGGAGTAAGAGTAATGCAAGCAGTAAAAAGCTGCACAAGGCAAAAAAACAATGAAAACCATGCAAGGTTATTGATAAGAGATGTCACATTGGATTTGGAATTGTGTTCTTAATACAGGCTTTCGTAATATTTACTACTTTCTGTATTTAAGGACACATGGATTTGCTCTAGGTAATTCAGCGATCTTCTGGATTGACTTGGTTATTGTTTCAGCAACTTGTGAAAGAGTGTTGCTTCTATTACTTTCAAAGATCTAGGAGACCAAGACAGAACTCATGACATGACTACGAGGTAAAACTCAATGCACTTTTGCACAAAATTAACTAATTCAGGAGTAGTAGCTTTCTTACCTCAGTCTGCTTTTGTTTTTTGCCACCCGCATAAGACTGTATCTGTTGATTGTGTAGAAATAGTCATGATATGGAACATCATGCGTAATCACCTCTGCATCGATCACATAACACTCACTCTCCTGGCTGGCTTTGTACAAAGTCTGTAATGAAAGAAATACTTCAAAGCATGCAGATAATTTTAACCATAATGAAAAAATACTCTGGGGATACACTTATTCCATGGTCAGTCCTCTATAAATGATCTGAAACACTATACCAAACTAATGAGTTATTTGGCTTAGTGATGGTGAAAATTACCAGCCTCTAGCTTGCTGACAGCAGCTAGGAGGGTATTGTCTTACGGTGTTATAAAATGTTCATTTTAACTTGTTATGAACAGCAAAGCCTTCTCTTTGATCTTTTGGAAGTCTCCATCACTAATGTATCTCATTAAATTACTGTTGGCAGACAGTAGGTTCTTAAATTGCTGGAAGAATTGTACTGAGCTAATTTTCTTCCACACGCTGAAGTAAAATGCAAAATGTAGTCTTGGTCACATCTTTAATGTTAGCTTTAATCAGCAAGTCTTACCTGGGTCTCAGTCACTGTGGCAGTTTTTGGCGCAAGTGGGTTTGAGAGAGCAATAGTGTACAATATCACTCGGGTCTGATTGCCATTTACTTCTTTCTTCCAGGGATGACTAACCATGTCTAGAGACAGAAAATAAAAGATCTATTTTGGTGGCAATTCTTCATCTGAAATAAGGATTTGTGGTAATATGTTACATTACAGCTAACATTTGTGCTCAGTTCCATTATACACACTGAACTTGTGTATTCTTTTTTAACATCTTTGCCACTGAGGTCATAAAAACAGGTTGCAGATGAGAAAAATCTTAAAATGATAGTGTTCAATAAAGTAAGAAAAATACTTTTCTCCTGTTTTGGAACGTTTATGAATGTTTTATTTGTTGTTAAAAATCAAATCTGTTTGCAATCTCTGCCCACAAATCCTCGCTCCTTGCTACACTTTTGTGTCAATTTTTTACAACATAAATTCTGACCTTTGCATGTTCAAAACTTCCTGCTTACACTTATCCTGTTGTACTAGTCTTGTACTGGCGCAACTTTGCATGTCCAGCTCTTCGGCTTGCATTGCAGAAAGGACGTCATGTCTCAAACCGATGTATACTTCCAAAAATATCATACGTTTTGCAGAGGCAACAAAGGACACTGGATGAATGGGTACTGGAGGGAAATTAACTTGCAAGGCTATGGGGGCAAACCTGGGGAATAGCACTGATTCAATTGCTCTACAGAGAGCTGGCCTGAATTCAATGGGCCAAAATGACCTCCTTTTTTGCCATAATAACTCTACTATCCAGTTATGAAGAAATCAAAATCAGATCAGTGTAAATAATTAAGAAGAAATGGATGATCATAAAATAGGAACTGATGTAAGCTTTCAAGCAGTCCACATGGTTGATTGAAACATCCTCCTCCAATGTCTCTCGACTTGTGTCTACCTAGATGGGACTGCTCTCAGTGGTTCTATTCTTATTTAATTGTAGTCAGAGAATTACTAGCAATGGCCTCTCTTCCTGATCCTGTACTGTTACCTCTGGTGTCCCCCAGTGATTTATCCCGGGTATGCTGCTATTTCAAATGTGCAAATTGCCCCTTGGTGACATTATCCAGTACCATAATGTTAGTTTCCACATGTACATTGATAACATCCAGCTGTACCACCTTCTCAAGCCTTCCACTGTTGCAAAATTATCGGACTGACTATGCAACACACATCACTAATAGGCAGAAATTTCCTCCAATTAAATATCGGTAAGACTGAAACCATTGTTTCTGCTCCTTGCTAAAACTCCGTTCCACAGTTACTGATGCCATCACTCCCCATTTCAACAGTCTGAGATTAAGCCAATCTGTTCAAAACCTTGGTGTCACAATTGACTCAGACGAAATTCCGACTTCATTTTTCTGTCTTTAACATTGCTTGACTTTATCTCTGTCTCAGGTCATTTGCTGCTGAAACGCTTCTCCAGGCCTTTGTTACCTTTAGACTTAATTATTTCAGTGCATTCTCAATTGTCTTCTACATTCTACTCTCTGTAAACTTGAGGTCATGGAAAATTCTGGCATCTGTCTTAACTTGCAACTAGTCCTCTTTCATTGTGGCTCCAGGTCAAGCAATATCTTGATTTTCAAACGGTCGTTCATGTTTTACCTAAGAATATAAGAAGTAGGAGCAGGAATAGGCCATCTGGCCCCTTGAGCCTGCCCCGCCATTTAATAAGATCATGGCTGATCTTTTTGAGACTCAGCTCCACTTACCCGCCCACTCACCATAACACTTAATTCCTTTACTGTTCAAAAATTTATCTAGAATTGCCTTAAAAACATTCAGCGAGGTAGCTTCAAGCGCTTCACTGGGCAGGGAATTCCACAGATTCACAACCCTTTGAGTGTAGAGGTTCCTCCTGACCTCAGTCCTACATCTGCTTCCCTTTATTTTGAGGCGATGTCCTCTAGTCCTAGTTACACCTGCTAGCGGAAACAACCTCCCTGCCTCCACCTTATCTATTCCCTTCATAATCTTATATGTTTCTGTAAGATCTCCCCTCATTCTTCTGAATTCTAATGAGTATAATCCCAGTCTACTCAGTCTCTCCTCATAATCCAACCCTCTCAACTTTGGTAGTAGAGTTTTCAAATCCCTCCATGGCCTTCCCCTCTCATCTCCAATCTCCTCCATCCCCCGAGGCCTACATGAAACAGGTGCTCCTCTGAATCTGGCATCTATTGTGTATTTCAAATTGTAAATATTTCACCATGGATGGTCATGCTTTATGTTACCTAGACCCCAAATTCTGGAATTCATTCTTAAACCTCACTGCCTCGCTACTTGCCTTCCTCTTTTAAGAGGCACCCAAAAACAATTTCACCAGGTTTTGTGTTTCCTAAACTAATATCTCCATTTGTAGCTCAGTATCAAACTTTGAAGTGTTTGAGAAGATTTGTAGCAGGTTGTGGACAAGTTTGTAGACTTGTTCGCTGAGCTGGTGTGTTTGGTTGCAGACGTTTCGTCACCCTTCTAGGTAACATCATCAGTGTGCCTCCAGTGAAGCATTGGTTTTCTGTCCCGCTTGTTATGCCTCAGTTTGCTGGGGTGGGTGGCATTTCTTCAGGCTCTGTTGTTCAGTAGTTTGTATATTGGGTCCAGTTCAATGTGTTTGGTGATGGAGCTCCGGGTGGAATGCCAGGCCTCCAGGAATTCCCTGACATGTCTCTGTTTGGCTCATGCTATTATGGATGTGTTGTCCCAGTTGAATTTGTGTCCTTCTTTGTCTGTGTGTATTGAGACCAGTGAGAATTAGGTTGTAGGCATGCTCACCGAGCCGGTGGGTTTGGTTGCAGAAATCACTCTGATGGGTAACATAGTCAGTGGACCTCCGGTTAAGCATTGGTGTTCTATCCTGCTTGTTATTTGTATGCCTCAGTTTGCTGGGTTGGTTGGCATTACTTCCAGTTCTGTTTTTCAGTGGTTTGTATATAGAGTCCAGTTCAGTGTGTTTGTTGGAGTTCCAGTTAGAATACCAGGCCTCCAGGAATTCCATGGCATGTCTGTTTGGTTTGTGTGATTATGGATGTGTTGTCCCAGTCGAATTCTAAATGGAGCTCGTCTATCCTTATTATCAAGACACCATGAGACACGACCAGTTTTCACTTGTCTCACTACACACGGACAACAAGGGACACAAATTCGACTGGGTCAACACATCCATAATAGCACAAGCCAAACAGAGACATGCCAGGGAATTCCTGCAGGCTTGGCATTCTAACCAAAACTCCATCAACAAACATACTGAACTGGACCCGACATACAAACCACTGAAAAACAGAACCAGAAGTAATGCCAACCACCCCAGCAAACCGAAGCATATAAATAACAAGCAGGACAGGACACCAACGCTTCACCAGAGACGCACTGACGATGTTACCTAGCAGGGTGATGAAACGTCTGCAGCCAAACACACTGGCTCGGTGAGCAATTCTACAACCTCAGTATCGTATCTTGTTTGCAATGCTCCTGTTAAGAGCCTTGGGACGTTTCATTATATTAACAGTGCTATATAAATATCTGGGGAAGCGATGACCTAGTGGTATTATCACTGGACTGTTAATCCAGAGACCCAGATAACATTCTGGGGACCCGGGTTCAAATCCCACCACGGCCGATGGTGGAATTTGAATTCAATAAAATATCTGTGATTAATAATCTAATGATGACCATGAATCCATTGTCAATTGCCGGGAAAAACCCATCTGGTTCACTAATGTCCTTTAGGGAAGGAAACTGCCATCCTCACCTGGTCTGGCCTACATGTGACTCCACACCCACAGAAATGTGGTTGACTCTTAACTGCTCTCTGGGCAATTAGGGATGGGCAATAAATGCTGTCTAGCCAGCGATGCCCTCATCCAGTGAATGAATAAAAGTGAAAATAAAAGATCTAACTATGAGATGCTGTTGTTGATGTGATGCTAATAAAATTTGAAACAGCAACTCAAACCATTTCCCCTTTAGTTAACTCTGGAATTTAAATAGTTTCAATCTCATTTTCATTCTGAACCACAGTATTTAGGTTTGAGGAAAATAAAACCTTTTACACTTGTCTAATACAGAAGAAAACAATTGCCCTGTAAACACTGAACTCTCCAGGTATAACTGCAGAGATTTATTTTTTTGTGTATTCATTCACAGGATGTGGGCATCACTGGCTAGGCCAGATTTATTGCCCATCCCTAACTGAGTTGAGAGTCAACAACATTGCTGTGGGTCTGGAGTCACACGTCGGCCAGACCAGGTAAGGATAGCAGATTTCCTTCCCTAAAGGACATTGGTGAACTAGATGGGATTTTCCACCAATCAACAGTAGATTCATGATCATCATTAGACTCTTAATTCCGATTTTTATTGCATTTAAATTCCACCATCTGCTGGAGTAGGTTTCGAACCTGTGTTCCCATAACTTTCTGAAGAAGGGTCTAGGCCCGAAATGTCAGCCTTCCTGCTCCTCTGATGCTGCTTGGCCTGCTGTGTTCATCCAGCTCTACACCTTGTTATCCCCAGAACATTACCTGGGTTTCTGGATTAACAGTCTACCGATAATATCGCCTCCCCAAATCTACACGAAGTGTTACGAAATCCAGTTTACCAGTGAATCTCCGTTGCTCAAAGAAATCTCGTAGAAATTGGGAGTCAGTGAAGAGTAAATCATACAGCTTGTCCACGCTGACATGAAAAACCTCATTAATGTACTGTCTGCCATTGAGGTCATCATAAAACGCTTGTACTTCTCCTGGAGTGAGGCAGCAAGAGACGTGAAAATAAAGTTAAGACAAAAATTCACCCCACCCTACAAAATCAAAACCCAATATCCAATTTGTTCAAAATCACAGTAACAGCTTTAAAAGATAGTGCTGATTTTCATCCAATTTCCCTTTATTTAACTTGGTATCTGGAATTAAAGTCAATCTTCTATGGTTACAATATCTCATCAACTAACCAGCCAGACTGTGGACTTGTTGTAGAAAGCTGTTCTTAAAATTCACTCTATTTCTTTCTAGATACATTGTTCTTAGTCATTTCATGAGTGAGCCTTCATTTGTCTACTTTAAAAATGATTTTCTGTGGCTCTTTATAATTACATAAGTAGTAATGGATTATTTTGCAATCAGAAGCAATAAGAAGAAATCCAAATCTATACATAATTAATCTCTACTTACTATTATCTTCCTTAAGAGAGAGGAGTAACTGACCACACCTTAGTACTAGCAGTTGAGAGTAGCTATCCATAAATATTAACGTCCTAAGCAACTATCATTGCTGGAAATACCAAGATGTTTGGGCCAAATTTAGTGCTGCTCCCAAAGAAAGAAAGAACAGTCTGTTTTAAATTCTATTCTGTCCGGTTACCACCATTTGAGTTTATCATGAATTTTACTCTTAAGAATATTTGTGAATATGTATTCTAACATCATCATTTGAAGCTGCATTTTTTTAAAAATCCTGACTTCTTGCTCCAATTGATTATCAGTCAATGATCCACATCATGATGTCAACTTTGGGGCTGAATTTAACGCAAGGAGAACTGGCCATGCGCTACAAAAAGAGATTTAAAATAAAAATAATATTGCAATTGGTGGTGTTGCATCCCATTCTCCTAATGCTTTAATTGACAGCCTGCAATTTATATAAGATTGTGGAAATTGTAAAAATGAAAGCAGCGTTGCAAATGCAATAACTTAATCTGTTAACAGCTTTTAATAATATGCAAAAAGATTTATTTTATTTGGAAGAAATTAAAGGGAATTTCAACCCCACTTAAAATGGGAAAGGTGAACCATCTACTCAAAGTAATTGTTTACTGTGTTTATTATTTTATGCTTTTAACATAAGTATGTTTAACATGACTAGCAGTAATATACACATATATAGATTTTGAAACAAATCAACCTTTGTAAAAACAATCTTTGAGGATCCTTCTGGATCTCTTCAAAGGACTTGGATTCAAAACATTTGGAAAGGAAGAAATTAATGAGTGGGCACTGGCAGGAAGCAGATAAGGAAGTAAAAAATGCTGTCTGTGCAAAACTTGTTCTAAGTGAACAATCCCAAGTTACAAGCATGCTACGTATGTTTAACTCAAGGAATGAAGGGTTTGACTACAAGGCATAGTCTACTATGTTTTATGAAATATAAACAAACTATCCTGTACAGTAGTTCTACTGTCATGTATATAATTTTGAATTTCCTATTGTCAATGTAAGAACAATATAAGACTAACTTATTTTGGGGAAAAAAATCTTGGAAAAATAATTACCTATGGTAGCAGAATAGAAGCAATTTTGCAAAAACATGGAGGTAGTTCAGAGGTTTGTGTTTGTGACTATATTTTGGAACTTAATATTTTAAATGGAGTTGAATTCCCTTGCAGGTATGAAACCTGTGCTGCTTTTTAGTATTCACATGACACAAAAAGATTTATTAAATATTCTTAAAATCTAAAATAAAATTGCATATCTTTAAACGCAATGGTTCCATACCTGTTTTCAGTTTTTTAAAATCAGCTGTAGTTAGTCCCACTGAAATGAATGCAGACAGGAAAAATGAAAATGAAAATAGGACAAAATTTTCTAATGAGTGCTGTTCTTAGAGCAGTTTTCATCACGGTTGCCAAACTTATTTTAGATTCCATTTTTTAAAGATGGCCGAGCAAGCATTCAAAATTCTTTTTGTGTACGCTTGAGGTAATCAAAATATACTGAAAATAAACCAAGCAGCACCTAAATATTCCATAAAATTAAAATAAAAGCAATTTGAAATTGCTCATTCTCCTCTTATTTTACATGCACTTTTTATCTTTAAAAAGAAATCTTTTCTCTCTCCCTGAGAGGGCTTGGCCCTCATGCAACTTTAAAAGCAAAACAAGATGAATAAAATTATGCAAAACATGCCTTGGTTAATTTAAAATAATCCCCACAAAGTTCACAGTTTTAGCATGATGGTCGATCAATATCACGATTAATATTGTCTAATCAATTTCATAGGCCCTACATAGTATTTACCAATTAATCAATATCTGCCTAAACAAGGTTTGTTGATATCACCGTTCCACCTTCTCAGTCCAATCCTGGTTTTAGATCTGAAATAACTGAAAACCTCCCAAGTCATGGTAAAAATGACACCAGATACACTTGGTTAATTACATACCTTCATCGTGTGTTTCAGAGGAATCACTAAGTTCTGTTGGAATGTCCTCATTATCGTTAAAGTCCAGGGAAGGAGTGTTTACTGGCAAACTGATTTCATTCTTCTCAATGGCCTGAGGGGCTTCAATTTCACCTTCTGGCTGACAGTCAATCTCCTCGTCTGGTGGAATGCCATCAAACTATGACAGTAGGAATACGAGAAATTAAACTTGTAATGTGAGAATTAAAATACAATTGAAATCCAAACGCACCATCCATATTTAGATTTATGATTATGATTCCATTTTCCCAACAGTGTTGCACTTAAAGTATCTGTACATTATCCAGGCTCAAATTCCTTAAAGTACAGGTTTGTTAATTGTTCCAATTATGATATTTATCTGAAATTGATAAAGTATTTAAATAAAAAGCATTGCATAAAAACTAACCTTGTTTCTCACAGCAACCTGTAACTTCCTTGCAGCAAGAATGATGTTGCGTTTACTGCTGCATTAAATTGAGCTTTCTTTAAATTTCATGTCTAATTCAATTAATTTATGACTAAAAATGGGATCTAAATCAAAAGACAATCAGATATTGGGTAAATCAGGCTGACAACCTATCAGGGACAGGAGAGAAAGCAGAGTAATCAGATCATGAGACATCGCATTGAATGTCGGAGATGGCTCAAGGAGCCAAGGAGCTTATTCCTGCTCCGAATTCAAAAGTTTGTCAATAAAGGCCACTTCACATGCCGAATGAGGCAGGTGCCAGGATGATGCCAATTTGGCCCAACGCCCTCGGTAGTAGAGAATCATCAAGCGTCCAAGATGTACCTTGGGGAAGTGAAAAAGCAGCTGTTTTGATTTGCGGGTAGAGAGAAAAGACAGAATGGTGGTTATCAGTGGTCTTCAGTCTAAGGAACATTAGGTACGTTTTCCAAACTTTTTGTTTTAGTGTATGGTGTGACTGAAAATGTAAGATATATATACATATTGATATCATGTCTCGACTTTGTATTTGGGTGTCGACTGTTTTTGTGAGGGTATCTTATAGTTAAAAAAATTAACAAGGTCAGACAGTCCTTCCCTAACTGTGATTTAATCCAGTATGTGTCAAAGGGCAGGTTACTGCAAACCCCATGGAGTGTTAATGGAAGGATTTATGACATGAAGTAAACATAACAAGACATTAGTTTGCTTTTGGTTTATAATGATTAAGGATCGATTTTAGCTTAGAAAAACTCCGAACTCGAAAGCTTTTAAAGCAGCCTTGCAGGAGGCCTGACTGGGGTCAGAAACAAATATAATTTCACTCCCAGAAAGGTGTACAGATGGTTCAAGGAAAGCTGCGTTACCTTGGTGAAGAGGTTTAGCTTCTGAAACCTCTAGGTTTGGTTACAAACCATCATATTATTGAAAGTCTAAGCTTTGAATTACCTGAGTTTCATTTGAGAAGATTTCACAGGTCACAGGACAGAACTGGGGAGAAGCAGTTAAGTCAAACATAAATATTTAATATATAAGGTTTATTTCGCTTGTCTTGTCACGCTTTAAAGTTCTGGTGTTGGGGAATAGGTGAGATATTGTTTTGCTGTGTGTTTTAAAATCTTTCAAACTGTAATTCAGATAGTTTGGTTTGATTTATTGTACTTTGTCTTTCTTTTACTATATAAAATTCAGCTTTATTGTTAATGAAAATCTGCAGCCTCGTGTGCCTGTTACTGTGAATGACCACCACATAAAGTGCAAAAAAGATCTGTCAAGCTAGGTTTCAGTCAGGGAAATGACTTGTCCAGTAACATCAGCTAGGTTAAGAATAGTGGACTGCTGGTTAGGGTGCCCATGGAACAAATAGTTCTATTCCGGTCATGTTCAAACCTGGTCTGGAAATGCATCCACACATGCTTTTTTTCTTGTATGGATTGTTATACATTATTAGGAACAAAAACCTATGCTATTTTACTGTTCTCTGATCTAGCTCTTTGAAGTCAACAGTATGACTGCTCCTGTTACCTTAAGCAAAATCAACCAACCCAGCACAAGCCAGGAGTTGGGCTGGGACTTTATGATACTTTGTTTATGGACCTTCATTTCGGAATCACTGGGATATCAAACACCGTCTTTTTTTATATTGTGTGGTTTTAGTCATTTTTTTTTAGGTTATTCACAAACAGAAAATTAGCAATTGTCATGTGACTCTGACTATTTGGTAGTGGTTCAGAATAGTCCAGGGACTCTCCACATTTTATGTCACTTACTGGTAAGCACTGGTCTCTACACTGCTTTCCATAGTAGTGCAGCCAATATTGAAAATTCAATGCGGTAGATTCAATTGCACTAATGTTTGCACTGTTTTTTGTGCCTACCTGATTTTTAATATCTCGCAATTTATGCCTAGACTTAATGTCATTTACTGAATGGCCTTTGTTTCTAGACCAAGGTTATGAAGTAGCACTTGATATCTTCAGGTGTAAATTTCCAAATTGGAAGTCTAATGTTCTAGAATGATATATATAAAAATTCTGAAGAATTATTTCCAAAGAAACCATCAAACATATTATAGTAAGGATCAAGTGAGGCCCAGAAGGATGAGGAAGGGTAAACTGCTTACTGAAGCAAAGGGTATGGCAAAGGTACTAAATTAATACTTTGCTTCAGTCTTTACCAAATGTAAAGATGGTGACACAGCCCAGTTGAAAATGTGGATAATGAACAACTGAGCAGTATAGTGATATATAAAGAAGAGGTGGCAGCACTCCAGGTAGAGAGGTTGCCAGGCCCAGTTGGAATACATCCTAGACTGCTGAGAGAGGAAAGAGAGCAAATCATGGAGGCATTGATGGAAATTTTCTAGGCCTCAACACAGGATTAGTCCTGGAGGACTGGAGAATTGCATGTGACACAATTGTTTAAGAAAGGGGCAAAGGATAACGCAGGAAACTACAGAGTTGTCAGCTTGACATCAATAGTGGGGAAACTGATGGAGGCCATTGTATGGGATAAGATAAATAGGCACTTTGAGATAAATAAATTAACACGTAACAGTCTACATGACTTTGTCAATGACAGATCATATCTGACAAATTTAATTGGGTTCTTTGATGAGGTGTCATAGGTAATCGATGAGAATCGTGCTATGGGTCCTAAGCAGAATGGATTAGAAGTTAGCTAAAAGATAGGAAACAGAGGATAAGTATAGATGGACATTTCTCAGCCTAGAGGCAAATTAAAAGTGGTGTTCCCCAGGGATCAGTGTTGGGAATCTTGCTTTATCTGGTTTATATAAATGATTTGGAGTTCGGTATTGAGGGCAAAATCTCTAAATTTGCAGATGATACAACACTAATGAGAACTGTGAATTGTGAAGATGACACTGAATAACTTCAGAGAGATATTGATAAGTTGGTCAAATGGGCAGACACCAGGCAGAAGAATTTCAATGCACAGAAATGTGAGTTAATACATTTTGATAGAAGAAACAGAGAGACAATTCATGCTCACTGGTGCAACTTTGAGAGGACAACTAGAGCAGAGGTACCTCGGGATTCAAATACATAATTCTCCAAAGGTGGCAGGCAAGTTGAAACAGTTGTTAAAAAGGCTTATGGGATCCTTGGGTTTACAGATAGAGGCAGAGAGTATAAAAGCAAGCAAGTGATGCGACATCTCTACAAATCATTGGTCAGACCACATTTGAAGATCATGTTCAGTTTTGGGCACAATATTTAAAGAACGATGTTGAAGCCCTGGAGAGAGTGCAAAGGAGATTTACTAGAATGATACAGGCTACCAGGAATGAGGGATTTTAGATACAAGGAAAGATTAGAGAAATTGTGCTCATTTCTCCTTGGAACAGAGAAGATTAAGAGGTGACATTATTGAAGTGTTCAACATTATGAACAACTTTGACAGGGTAAAGAATAATATTCTGTTTCCACTAGTTGGTATGTCAGTAAGTAGGGATCACAAATTCAAGACTGTCAGCAAGAGACCTGGGAGTGAGATTAGGAGAACCTCTTTATTCAGAAAGTTGTTACACTTTGGAATGCACTGCCAGTGGAGTAGTGGAGGCAGATTCCATAGGAGGATTCAAAAGACAGCTGGATATATATTTAAAAGTCATGAATTTAGAGGGCTACAGAGATAGGGCTGGAGAATGGGATTAGCTGGGTAGCTTGTTTGGGAGCTGGTACAGGCATGATGAGCTGAATGGCCTCCTTCTGTACTATAAAATTCTACAATTCTAATTCAATTTAAATAAAATAAGCTTTTCAACTTTGATGCAACGCTGCTTCAGCCCACTGTGAGACTCTCTGAAATTTAGATTTGATATCCTGACACTCTACAATCAATAAATAACCATCATTGCCACCATTCAAGAGCAGACCACTAGAGTGTTGCTAATTTGAATAGTTGCTTTCTCTTAGCAAGGTCATTACTAGGGGATTAACAACCAAATAAAGCTTTAGCCACCATGTTAGATTAAAGAGATGCAGACAAGATGCCTTGGTAAAATGGGTCAGCCTGCAGGAAAGGATGGAGAATGAGAAGATCTTTTGGAATGACCCTTAGTACTAGAAGTGTTAGAAAGGGAGGGAAGAGGCTAAAGGAAGCCCTAAGAGCTACATCCAAAAGATGCCCAGTCCTTATCAAAAAGTCAAAACAGCAGCAGAACATGGTTTAATAGTATCAATCACCAGATTGAGGCAGTATTATTGCTTTCTTGAGAATTTTTCAGAAAATTATCAAACAATATCCTAACTCCATCATGAGGAGACCAGGCAACCGGTAAGTATACTGCAAATTGAACATTTCTGAACTTTTAAATTAAAATTCTCTTACAGAATAAACCGTTGAGTTTATCCTATATGTCTGATTACGGCTGGGTGACAATTTGACAATGTTCAATGCATTATGAAAAATAAATGCTTGAGATAAACTAATGCAATAATGAGTCACATTAATTTTGCTAAACTTTTCATATTTCTCCTCTCGACAAATGATCAACTCCTGCTGGAATATAGTTCTGAAACCATCTCCTGATACCTCTGCCAAGTGAAATGGCTGCACAATGAAAACCAATAGTCTATTTGTCGGAGAATCTATTCCTGTTCTTATCAGGGCCATTCATTCATTCTTTCCTTAACTGCCTTTCCAGTTTGCATGTTTCTGTCTGCTATTTCTACCAACTGAGCTACTAGAGTTTGTCATATCAAATGTAAAATAAATTAATATATGGGTAATAAATAGATAATTTTAACATTATGAAATATGCAGCATTTAATTTTCAAACGCAAATTTCATTGGAATGTCCTTGTTTCAGAAAGGCCTGTAGTATTTGAGTTTTTCTTTTACATATTTTTGAATAATAATGTAAATTAAAAATCTCTTTCTTATTCACATACTGCGGCAGGGGCTTCACTGCTCCCTGTGGAGGTTATTGTGCTGGTCGTGACTGATTTCTTGTGCATCTGTGGACTGGCATCTGTCTTCACTTCTAAGCTGCTTTTAGATGCATTATCATTCACCTCTACTTCTTCCACTGGGATTTCTTCACTGAACCTGCCAGAAGCATAATATATGCCGTTTCATATGATGATAAAGTGATGACATATATTTCACAACAGATAAACAAGGCAAACACAGAAAAGCTCCATTTTTATTTTGAACAATACTTGCACATTGTTAACAAAATACCATCTTAACTGTCATTCATCTGTTTAACGCTTTGATTGGAAACAGAGGGACAGAGTCTAAAGTTCTGAACTCCACTATAAAAGTGTTATGTTATCTGATTTATTTTTTAATTTCTTGAAATAGTTTTACTTTAACATTCATAAAATTATTGTACATGATTTGAGCTTTCAATTATAATTAACTTGGCAAAATTCTCAGAATTCCTTTCCTTCCAAAAATTTCAGCTCAGTGGTTCTGTCACTAATCAATTCTCAAACAGAATGATTCCAATTTAGTGAAAATACTAGAGATTTGACTTGTTTGAAATTGCATTTGATTGTATTGCTTGTGGTATGGTAGCTGTGTTAGGTTCTAAGATGAGAAATTCCACAATTTTATTCGTGCTTATAACCAATTAAGTGCACAGACTTGCAAAATGTATAAAAAAAAAAATCCACATTTTATATTTAAACACAAGGTATAAGGATCTGCCAGAATATGAAAGCAGGGATTGATTCATTCTCATGTTCCTTACATAAACGAAGCCAGATAGATGATGAGCACGGATTGATGCAATTCCAATATCTTGAAAGATCTGGCATACTTAATGACAATGTTATTTTAATTTCTCCCTGTGAGTACAATTGGAAGATCACAGAACATATATATGTGCACGTTGTTCAACTGGACAGTTTTCACTCTTTCTGTGCCTTCCTATTGACTGAACAACCCCTATACTAAAATGTGAAAGGCATCTATTTGAAATAACGTGAATTTACAATTTGTTATCCAATTTTCCAACTGTTGTCAAATTATTTACCTCAACCATATCTTCTACATTTATTCAGCACTGAAGATTCTAGATTAGAAATAATTAAATTATTACTTAGATTTGATCATTGCAAATTATTATTTCCCTTTATGTAGAATTGGATGTAATAGATAACATTCAGACATTTCAATGAAAGTAAAAAGAGGGGAATACGGTACGACTGTGGCCTTTGATCTACTTTAGCATACATATGTTTGAGTACAAGTATTCAGCAATCTCCACCACTTCCTTCCATGTCCTATGAGCCACACTGGCTTTACATCATGGAGGACCAAAACAAAGAAATTGGGGTTTGCTGCAAGGAAATACAGAATTTCTCACCCCATTGTATTGAAGTCATCATCTGGGGGAACATAATCTTCATCATCACTGGTTAGACCAAGCTCATTCCCATAACACTGATGAACAAAGTGCCACAGCTCTTTGGGACAAAGAGGCTGCAAAGAGGAGTAAATTTGTACAGTATAATTACTGAGACTACATCTCAGTTCACAAACAATTGCAAGCAAAGAATCATTGGTCTTATTTTTACTGCCAATAGCTTGGTATGACAATTACACTGTCTGTTTGAATCTGACACACCATTTAAAAAATATTAAAAGAGAAGAACGGCACAGGAAGAGGCCCTTTGACCCTTCAAGCCTGTGCTGATCATCATACCCTAAACATAATAAAAAACAAACCTTCTGCCCTTATTCAGTCTATATCACTCTATTCCCTCCTATTCATGTAACCATCCAGATGCCTCTTAAATGTTGCCTGCTTCCACCACTTCCTCTGGCAACGCAGTCCAGGCTCCTACCACTCTCTGCATGAAAAACTTTCCTCGCACATCTCCCTTAAACTTTTGACCTCTCACCTTGAACCTGTGCCCCCTTGTAATTGAAACTTCAACCCTGGAAAAAAGCGTCTGATTATCCACCCTATCTATGCCTCTCATAATTTTGTGGATCTCTATCAGGTCTCCTCTGAGCTGCCTTCTTTCCAATGAAAACAATCCTGGTGAACCTTCTCTGCACTCTCTCCAAAGCTTCCACATCCTTCTGGTAATGTGGCGATCAAAACTGCACACAATATTCCAAATGCGGCCTAACAAAGGTTTTATATAGCTGCAACATGTTTTGCCAACTCTTGCATTCTACCCCCCACCCAATGAAGGCAAGCATGCCAAATGCCTTCTTCATCACTTTGGCTGCCTGTGTTGCCACTTTTAGGGAACTGTGGACTTGCACACCCAGATGTGTCTGTATGTTAACGTTCTTAAGGGTTCTGCCATTCACAGTATAAATTCACACCTAAATTTGATCCTCCAAAATGCATCACCTTGCATTTGTCTTGATTAAACTCCATCTGCCGTTTCTGTGTCCAAGTTGTCAATCTATCTATATCCTGTTGTATCCTTTCACAATCGTTGGCACTGTCAGCAACTCTAACAATCTTCATGTCATCTACAAACTTACCAATCAGACCACCCACATTTTCCTCCAGACCATTTATATATACTACAAACAACAGTGGACCTAAGACTGATCCCTGTGGAATACCGCTAGTTACCAGCCTCCATTCTGAAAAGTACCCTTCCACCGCTACACTCTATCTTCTATGACCAAGCCAGTTTTGTATCCATCCAGCCAGCCCACCCCGAATCCCATGTGATTTTGGTTTTTGTACCAATCTGCCTTGTGGGACTTCATCAAATGCCTTACCAAAGTCCACATAAACTACATCCATAGCTCTTCCCTCATTAATTATCTGTGATCTCTTCAAAAAATTTGATCAGGTTGGTGAGACATGACCTGCCCTGTACGAAACCATGCTGCCTGTCGCTAGCTGGTCCATTTTCTTCCAAGTGTGCATATATCCTCAGTATATTCACAGTATCTTCTCCGAGAGCTTCCCCACCACAGCTGTCAAAATCACCAGCCTATAATTTCCTGGATTACCCCGCTTCCTTTTTTAAACAAAGAAACTGGCTAACCTTGAGTCCTCTGGAACCTCGCCTGCGATCAAGGAGCATGTCTGCTCATGCCCCAGCTATTTCTTCCCTTGACTCTGGCAGAAACCTGGAATAGATTCTGTCTGGCCGTGGGGACTTGTCTACATTTTTATTCTTTTTAAGGTTGATGTCCCTAGACTTTTTCCATTTTTTTCTGTTCTGGAGCCATGGAAACAGATTTTTAATATATGATACATCAAGTGATAACTACAAAGTTAATTTGTGTGACCTGGAAATGACTATTTTCTCTCTTGCTGTGATTCCTTCTGATCCCAAAATGATTTAGCAATAAAGGAATAGATGCAGAGTGTGGGAAATCAAGTCTGCACCCCAGTTTCTATGGCCTGCCCCATCATCATTTTTATTTCTTCAATAGGGAGTTTGATTCTCAATAACATTTTAGCAATACCTTTTCAAGCAGTGCATTTTGCCAGAGTCTGAACATCATCATGTAGGTTCTGTCTCGGGCTCCAAATGAAGTAAAAAAGTGCTACAAATAAATAACAAATACAAAACATTGCGACAGAAAGTAAATAACGAGCTTTCATCAGTTGAACTGACTGAAAATGATTTCACATTAACTCATGCCCTGTTCTTAGTGTGTCAGTTGGTGCAAGCATATCCTTTCTGCACAGTTTTAACAAAGTCACAAATTTCAACCATCATTAGCACAAATGAAATGGTCTTACCGAATCATAAAGTTACTCATGGTTCAGCTGTCTCTTGTTAAGATCAACAAAAATTTCCACATGTAAACTGTCTCACTTACAGAAGTTAATAGATACATCTTATACAGGTATCAAATTTCAAAATCCAATAAGAAGTTGGGATTCTTCTCTTAGCAGCAGAGTTCTCACACTGATGGAACTTCATCAAATTCTCCTCCTGGCACCCGAAAACAATTTGTCAATTGCAGGAAGATACCACAAACAGGGAGCCTGCCTTGACAAAAAGGAAATTCTGCAGGTTCTGCCACTGAAGCACCAGACCACTTGAATGCATTACTAAAAAGAGCAGAGGTGCCCCGAGACTATCAAGGTTGTTCTACCAAAAGCTTTAGTCCAGCATGTGCAATTTATAAGTATGGGCTGCGTCCCACATCTTTTAGCCAGCTTCCCTCTGTTAACCAGTGTTAAACTGAATGAACGGGGGAGAAACAAAAATCTGTCAAGTACCTGGTTCCTTCCATGCCCTGAATTCTCCCAACCATCACCATTTATTATGGTAAGAAGGGAATAAGTGGTCAATGGCAGTCCCAGCAGGGTTGGGGAGGGAAAATAACCTTCAGGCGGCATTGTAGTGATACTCTCACTGCCGAGAAGTTGCCCTAATTTCTCCTTTTATCCAGCATAGTGTCAGAAGCGATACAAGGAAAATAATCATCAGGCAAAGCTCAATTTACACTTGGTCCAGCTTGGACATGAAAGGACAAACTGTACATTTATGTCCTTTTGTACGTACTGCAGATCCATCTTAATTCAAAGTCACAATGCAGATTAATTAAAAGTGTACATTTTTGGCACTAAATTCTCATTTCACCAATCATGTTGCTCAATTCTTATTTTTGGGTAATTGTTTTTATCTTTAAATGATCATTTTTACCGTTGACTAACAATATTTCATGCACAAATATAATTGTGTTGCACAACCAGCATTTTTTATACGTTCCACACTTAAATTTTCTTTAATAATCATGCATGCACTAAACCTGGAAAAAGGCCTGTGTAGTACTATCAAGGCCACTGCTTGTCCATATTTATGTGCAGGCTAGCAAGAACATAGTGACTAGCCAAGAACATATTTTGTAAATCAGTAAGGGTCATGTGATTTTACAGTGACTGTTAGGTCTTGGTTGAGTCTCTGTTTCAAGCCTAGGCTTCTTATAACTCATTTGAAATCATTTTGATAAGGCATGGTTTTACCAGCAGGAAGAACCAAGTTTAAAGGAGTCAGAAGAGTAATTAGTTCTCATGCTTTATAGCATTGCTGAAACAACTTTACTGTCTTCAGAACAATTTCATCCAAGCTGAAATGGATAGTTAAAGATTTACAATGATTTAAATGTAAATAAAAAATGTGAATTTCAATTTTAAGTCCCATCTTACTGGCTTTCCAGTGAATCTAACTTACTGCATTCCAACAGGCATCATGTTTACCCTATATATAGGCTGACCAGTTCTACCAGAGGCACGTTGTGTAAGTCAGTAACTGCACCTTACCTTTTCAGTGTCAGTGCAAACTTGGACAGCATTAGGAATGAGGCGAGCTGTTTTCTCCTTTGTCATTGAGCAAACATCCTTAAGACGTACAGTGAGCTAAACCACACAAGAGATTTTAAAATCAAAGATTGCCAGCAAAATATAGTATGCTGTGCAACAGTCAATCCTGTTTATAGAAATAAGTTTTCTTCTTCTACTGGACAGAGTTTATACATCTCAAAAGACCATTTGCCACTTGGTAATGTGTATCTCAAGGCACAGTGCCATAAATAGAAAGAAGTTTGTGCACAATTACAATATCTTTAATGCAATTAAATTTACATTTTCTAGAAATGCCAAGTTGTAAATGAACATATTACTTCTCAAATAAAAACTTTGCACAAATCATTAAGTCAAACACATGTTATACTAGACAGATATAGGACCATGTTACCTTATCTGCAGCAAGAGAAGATAAACTCATCAATAGATAACATAGTGTGGAGCTGGAGGAGCACAGAAGGCCAGGCAGCATCAGAGGAGCAGGAAAGCTTACGTTTCGCGTCGGGACCCTTCTTCAGAAATGGGGGAGGGGGAAGGAAGCTCTGAAATAAATAGAGAGAGAAGGGGTGGGGCTGGGGAAGGTAGGTGGGATGATGATAGGTGAGTGCAGGTAGGCAGTGGTGGGGATTGGTCAGTGAGGTAGGAGGAACAGATAGGTGGGAGAGAGGATGAATAGGTTGTGTCAGGTCAAGGAGGCAGGGATGAGAGGGAGGGTTGGTCATGGGATCAGGCCGGGGTGAGGAGATTTTGAAACTGGCAAAGTCCACATTGAGACCATTGGGTTGTAGGCTCCCAAGGTGGAATGAGGTACTACTCCTCCAGTTTTTGGGTGGCGTCATTGTAACACTGGAGGAGGCCTAGGATGGACATGTCGCCCAGGGAGTGGGAGGGGGGAGTTGAAATGGTTCGCAACTGGAAGGTGTTTTTGTTTATGGTGAACAGAGCGCAGGTGCTGTCTACAAAGCGGTCTCCGAGCCTCTGCTTGGTCTCACCAATGTAGAGGAGGCCACATCGGAAGCAGCGGATGCGGTAGACCACACTGGCAGATGTGCAGGTGAACCTCTGTCTGATGTGAAAGGTTTTTTTGGTTCCTTGGATGGAGGTTTTGGGGGGGGGGGGGGGGGGGTGGGGGGGTGGGGGGGGTGGGGGGGGGGGGGGGGGGGGGGGGGGTTGGTGGTGGTGGTGGCAGCGGTTGCAGGGAAAGGTGCCAGGGGCGCTGGGGCTAGTGGGGAGTGTGGAGCAGACAAGGGAATCACGGAAAGAACGTTTTCTCCGGAAAGTAGATAGAGGTGGGGAGGGAAATATATCTTTGGTTGTGGGGTCGGATTGCAGTTGGTGGAAGTGGCGGAAAATGATACGTTGAATCTGGAGGTTAGTTGGGTGATATGCGAGGACAAGGGGGATTCTGTCTTTGTTTTTGTTGTGAGGAGGGGATGTGAGGGCAGAGGTGGGGGAAACACAAGAGCGGGGGTAAAGGGCATTTCGGACACCAAAGGGGGGGGGGGGGGAAGGAGGGCGGAGTTTGAAATAAGAGGACATCTGGGATGATCGGGAATGGAACGCCCCATCTTGGGAGCAGACTACACCTCCTCTCACCCACCTTCCTGCAAGAATACGATCCCCTACTCTGAATTCCTCCGCCGCGTCTGCTCCCAAGATGGGGCTTTCGACTCCCGCACATCCCAGATGTCCTCTTATTTCAAGGACCGTAACTTACCCCCTTCGGTGGTCGAAAATGCTCTCGACCGCATCTCTTGTGTTTCCCGCACCTCTGCCCTCATATTCCCTCCCCACAACAAAAACAAAGACAGAATCCCCCTTGTTCTCACGTATCACCCCACTAACCTCCAGATTCAACATATCATTCTCCGCCATTTCCACCACCTGCAATCTGACCCCACAACCAAAAATATATTTCCCTCCCCACTCCTATCTGCCTTCCGCAGGGACTGCTCTTTCCACGACTCCCTTGTCTGCTCCACACTCCCCACTAGCCCTACCACTCCCGGCACCTTTCCCTGCAACCACAGGAGTGCTAAACCTACCCCCTCACCTCCATCCAAGGAGACAAAAAAACCTTTCACATCAGTTAGAGGTTCACCTGCACATCCGCCAATGTGGTCTACTGCATCCGCTACTCCCGATGTGGCCTCCTCTACATTGGTGAGACCAAGCGGAGGCTCGGAGACCGCTTTGTACAGTACCTGCGCTCTGTTTGTGACAAATGACACCTTCCAGTCGCGAACCATTTCAACTACCCCTCCCACTCCCTGGGCGACATGTCCATCCTAGGCATCCTCCAGTGTCACAATGATGCCACTCGAAAACTGGAGGAGCAGCATCTCATTCTGCCTTGTGAGCCTACAACGCAATGGTCTCAATGTGGACTTTGCCAGTTTCAAAATCTCCTCACCCCTGGCCTGATCCCATGACCAACCCTCCCTCTCATCCCCGCCTCCTTGACCTGACACAACCTGCTCATCTTCTCTCCCACCTATCTGCTCCTCTCACCTCACTGACCAATCCCCACCACTGCCTACCTACCTACACTCACCTATCACCATCCCACTTACCTTTCCCAGCCCCACACCTCCTCTCTCTATTTATTTCAGAGCTTCCTTCCCCCTCCCCCATTTCTGAAGAAGGGTCCCGACCCGAAACGTCAGCTTTCCTGCTCCTCTGAAGCGTTCCTGTCCTGATGTGTTCCTCCAGCTCCACACTGTGTTATCTCTGACTCTAGCATTGGCAGTTCTATCTATCTCCAAGATAAACTCATCAGCCACTCTTTCCACACATTTTCAAATTTCTACGAACTGTTACAACAACTCAAGATTTAATTTAAATCCCAATAAATTTAAACCCCAACTATGACAAGAAGAAGCTTTCAAAAAACAAATCTTGAAAGTGCCTTACTTTCAACTTGGCCTCAACAAAAATATCAAAGATGTGTAAGAGTAAAATCAAATAACATGCATGCAGTAAATTGGGATACTGCATGATCAGGGCTCTTGCAGTGAGTAATAAGTCCAGTGGAGTCAATTCCATAAGCAAAATGAACACTAGTAAATGATACAAAAGATCACATCCTGATTGCATCACATCAACCCTGAATTAAAATTCCACTACCTGCAAATTGCAAGGAAAAAGCAGGCATCGAGGGTGAGGAATATTTCAACATTTTGTTCCACAACAGAGGTAAAAATTTTCATCTTTCCATGTAGTTTTGTGAACACTGGCAGAAGGCAGATCAAAACAACAGCAGAACCTCTATCTTGTGGCTATTATAAGGCTACTGCCAAGTAATTTTCAGTGAGCCACTGAATACATCACTTCCTAAGCCTTCAAGGAATGTTACCTTTGGAAGAGATTCTATTGTGCTAACAATCTAATGTTTTAAATGCTTCTTTTGGTACATTGACAAGATCTGTACATAGAACAGTTTCCGTAAAAGCAATTTGTTGACTATCCCCACCGTTCTGCATTAATTTCAATCATTCTAACCACTGCTTCATTAAGAAGGTTCACGACTGCCCAAACATGCATAAAAGACTATATGATATATCTTAAAATGAGATCATTTGGTATGATGCATTCTATGAGAATATAATTTCATTTAAAATTATATACAGACATCAGTGAAATGGTAAAGATTACGGCATAAGAACCTTCTTGAAGTAAGTTTTAAAGAGTCATCTTTTCATTCTTTCAAAAGTTTACAATTACAGTGAAGAAGTGAATATAAAATTCAAAGAGATTACAACTTCTTTAAATTGTTAGATTCCTTCAACATCCACTCACAAACACCTCTAATTCAGAAGATCTCATGTTAAAACAGCAGTGCTGAAATGTTAATAAAGAGCAATATGAATTTCTGACTAACTGCCTAAAATTTTTCTTGTGCCTCAGTAACTAGTTACTTACATCTTTTAAAAAATGTATCTCAATTTTATCTTGCATGTCCTCTCTGCTGTAGCTCATCAAAAACTGTCTGACAATCCATTTAGCACCCACAGTCTAAAATGGTGAACTATACAATTAGCTTTACTGACTAACATGGTAATCTGCACATTTGGTGTTCCAAAACAGAATAGCAGTTTGTTTAGTTCCTTACTTAATTCAATTTCAATGATAAAATCTCTTACTGATGAAGTTAAATTCCTATTTGGCAAAACATCATCTATTCTAATAGATTTAGATGATTAATCTAACATTTTAGGTAATGCAAACTTTCATTACCTTTACTTAAGCTGAGCAAAATTCAATTAGGAAATTACTTTATATAATATTCCCTGAAGTACTAATGTGATCCTATTAATGCATATATAAATGATCACTATTACTTCAAAACAATCAACCTGATCAGTTATGGAACATGCTGTTGGATTCTGTAGCTCATATACCAATTAAACTTCCCATTGGCTGAAGTGGATAATTCTACTTGACAAGTTTACTCAGTGTCTTTATCAAACCCAGCAAAACAACATTAGTTACTTGCTCAATGAAATAAATTTTACTTTGGAAAGATATTGGATGAATCATTTTATAACATCTTACAATATTTTATTAGGTGACAATATGGTCTACCTGACTTTTCCCATGACATTTAGAAATTTGCCTATAGGAATGTTTAATTTGTCAGTGGATACAAATAGTAAGTACAATATTTTGACTCTGTTGTGGTGCATATTTTCTTTTTAAAATCATAACAAAATAATATCTGTATTAGTTCAGAATTCCATACCAGTGTTTCCCATCTGAAGATGTTGCTATAGAAACAGATCCAATTTTCTGAGAGGTAGAGACGCCCCTGCAGGAGGATGTCCCTTTGAAGGGCACATGAGTAATCTGTGAGGTCACAACAAAATCACCATTAAAATTATGTGTTGCATAAAACTGTCCATATAACCCGAGTACCATCCAATATAAATTCTTGAAAATGTAAAGGAACATGCGCTCTTTAGATCAACAGCATCTAAATGCTTTTGTTAGTTAATACCGGCACTGAATCAAAATGGTAAATCAAGAGTGCTGAGTATTTGAAATGAATGAACCAACTTACCATAAAAATGGTTTAAGCCACTAAAAGAGTCAAATATCCAGTTTCCAGAAAGAGTATTTTTTTCAGAAATGAAATCGTTTTTACCCAGCACCCATTTTAGTTCATTAATGAGGCTCTGTAGCAATGGATGATTTAATTGTGGTATGTAAAATTATAAAGGGCCTAAATAGAGTAGATAGGAAGGATCTATTTCTCTTAGCAGAGAGCTCCATAAGTTCCAGGGGTTCATCAGTTTAAAGTAATTGGTGGAAGAGATTTTTCCACTCTGAAGGTGTTAAGGATCTGGAGCTCACTGTGTGAAAAAGTGGTGAGGTGGAACTTCACTACATGAAAAAACACAGTTGGGATATTCACATGTGATGCTATAATGTACAGGGTTATGAACCAATAGCTGGAAGGTAGAATTAGATGGTATAGTCTGTTTTGGCTTGCACAAGCATTATGGGCTTAATGCCACCTACTTTGCCACATGTCTATATCATGTTATGTTTTCTACTTCTGTGATAAGTCAAGCTGGTTTTGAAAAATAAACACAACTTCGAAATAATTAAATGTACACCAGCTTCAAATTAAGTGAAATAGACATGGAATTTGTTTTGAAACTAAAATCACCTGATATAAAAAAAGTTACAGAAATAGGTAATAAGCAGCTATCATCAGTCAGTCGTAACGATTTTGGCTCCACGCTAACAGGAAAAATGATGATGAAATGTTAGATTTGATAATTCAAGCTGACTCTGAAATGAAAGGAGAAACTCCTGCTTCCCGTAATTTCAGCCCACTTTAGTGCTAGTTTAGTTCCAATTCTGGGTTCAGGCCATTTTTATGGGACAAATGCAATGTTGGAGTAGGGGAACATCACTTTGTACTCTAATTGTCCAGTGGATTTCATTCTAAACTCCTCAAAATGATTTTAATTGAACCCTAGAACATGTAACAATTTCCACAAAGTCTCATGCAATTTTTCTTGCAAATTGCCACAACTATATAAACCAAAATCCAGACGTTACGTACAGTTGTAAATAATAGTGTCATTGGAACTAAGTGTTTTTCTTTCTGAACAGTAAGGCCAGTTTATCAATGATTCATTCCTTTCTTGTCATCTAAACTTATCTTATTTAGTTTGGAAATGTTTATCTAAAGATAAATGCTTGGTCTTTTCACGTAACCAGTCTTAATTGAAACATGCTTAGAAAACAGTGATTGTCGACATGAGCGGATGCTTGTTCTTTACCAACAATGAGTCGTTCTGTGTCTGGCAGCTGCTTAAAGAGTTTTCTGAAATCCTCATTCCGTTGTTTATATGTTGGACTCAAAACCTGAAATACAAAAGCAAGTTATTACAACCCAAAGCAACTATTTTATAAATTTTAGAAAAGAAGCCTTTTCAGAACATTTAGTAAGGCTTTCTTTTCTGAAATAGGTGTGGAATTCCTCCGCATCCAGAAATACAATATGAAGTATCAGTTTAGCATAATTTGTCTATCAGAAAATCCATAGGATTGGAAAAAAAAATTCTTTATGCTATTTATTAAGGGGTGTGGGCATCACTGGAAATAAATGTCCATTTATTGACCGTATCTAATGATGTGGTGAGACGCTTTCTTGCACTAATACAGCCTGTGTAGTGAATGTCCTCTCACAGTGCTGTTATGGAGTGCCATAATTTTTGCCAGATAGAGATGTGTGTGACTTAGAGGGAAACTTAGATGCAGCAGTGTCAAATAAATTAGCTCCTTTGACCTGGATGCTTTTGAGCTTCTTGATTGTTTTTGGAGCCGCACTCATCCAGGTGGTTGAACAATCCCAACTGCATTCCTGATTTGTCTTTGCAAAGGAAGAAACACTTGGAGTTAGGTGGTGAGTCTCTTGGTGAAAGTTTACTAGCTTCTGACCTATCCTGGTAGCAACACCATTTATGTATCTGGTCCAACTTCTGTTCACTGATTCCCAGAATGACAGGAGATCTGATGATGGTAATGCTGTTGAATGTCAAGGGGAGGTGGTTCAACCCTCTCTTGTTGGAAATGGTCACCATCTTGCACTTTTCCAACTATTACCCTCCAGTAGAGAGTGAACTAGGGTGGGCGTAAAACTACAGGTTGCACACAATCCTGTAGGTTTCATGATGACTGTGTTAATTTAAAATAACTGCAGAATAACGTCTTCTAGAAGTGGATTCTCCAAGCCATATGTCTGTATTTCCTATTCTTGAATCCTTTGGAATGTCTGGGTCAAAATATTAAATCTACATTCCTCTCACTCTGTATACATTTCCAGTTGCTTTTACTAACAGATTTATCCAAGAAATAATCAACAGAATAGAAATATCAGTGTCATCAAGATACAAATAGGACAAAGCTGCAAATAACTTTTTTTTAAAATTTGGTCGTGGGATGTGGTAGATCAATATTTATTGCCCAACCTAACTGCCCTGGAAAAGGCATTGGGTGAGTTGTCTTCTTGAACTGTTGCGGCCCTTGGGGTTTGATTCTCCCTTGCTGGAGATGGTCACCGGATACAAATAGGACAGAGTTACTGGGCCTCAGATGACATTTGGCTCAAACCCGTTTTCCCCTGTTCTCAAAGTTAGCCATTGGGGCAGTGTTCAATATTTTTCATGGGTTCTTGGTTAATGAGAATGCAATACCAATGTTAATTACTTATAAACATGGCAAATATGTTAGCTAGGGTGTTGAGAATATGACAACTAAAAAGTAATAAATATTTAGTTGTTCCGAATGTCAACTTGCATCATTAATACACATGTACAGTGAAATTCAGATTACACAATATGTTACGAGGAAACACAAGTCCATTGAATATCACTGAATACTGTTCAGAATAACAAAAGGATGAATGCAATCAAGATGCGTAACACTATCCAGAATAACAACCACCTACATTTATATAGTATGTTTAATGAAATGAAACATCCAAGTTTTACGATCCCAATTGATATTATTACTAGAGATGTCAGATCCCAGACTGAAATCTGCCATGATAATCATTTTTTTTTGTTGAACAAGGTGATGTTTCACTGAAACAGAAGCACAATGCTGCAAATTTTATTTATAAATATAAAATTTTGAGACAATATCAACACAATCCCACCTATCTCAACACCATCTCTTTACAGTACTCACACACTAGAGTTAGCTTCTTTATTACATTTATCGGTTTAGCTTAATGGTTTCTTTCAATTTCTGGTCTTGAGAGTTTGGTAGTCTCTTCCTTGATTCATCACATAATTCAGCTTAGACATTTTCAGCATCAAACAACACCCTCAGGGTTCTAAGCAAATGTTTCTGATCCATCTCCTTTCTTCAAGAGAAACAGTATTAGACATCTTACTTGCATTAGGAACTATGGCAACTGAAGAACAGAAACTTTCCAAGCACTGGCTTTTTCCCCTAACCAAAAACAAAATCCCTGAACCTTCTGACCAGACAAGACAAATATTTTCTATGTTCATTTGTAAAACTCTCCCAATATAAACAAATTCCCATTATCACCACAGGGACTCCTCTTTCATAATGATTTTAAAAAACCCATGGCTCTAGAAACACTGACAAGATAATCATTAAACCCCTCATAGTCAAGAGTTAAAAAAAGCCACCTGACACTAGCTCAAAATCTAACCTCTAATGTAATTAATATTAACATATATACAAATCACACATCTTACATCACACAATGTATTGTTGGAAGAAAAGAGGAATTAAACATTATTTATATAGAGAAAGACTGCAGCAAGCTACAAAACATAAGCATTTGAGAGTTTTCATCCATGAATTATAAGTACGGGGTAAAAGGAAAGACAAGTGGAATCTTGGCCTTTATTTCAAAGGGAATGGAATATTAAATAGGGAGGGTTTGCTAAAACTATATAATGCACTAGTCTCACCACAGCTGGAATACTGTGACTAGTCTAAGGAAAGATATATTGGCATTGGAGGCGGTCCAGGAAAGTTTCGCTAAGCTGATATAAGATATGGAGGGTCTGTCTTAAGAGTACAGGTTGAGTAAATTGGGCCTTTATTTGTTGGAAAATAGAAAAACGAGAGACAACCTAATTGAAACGTAGGGGACTTAACAGGGTAGATGCAGATCGGTTGTTTCCCCCTATGGGAGTGTCTAGGACCAGATAGAATAATCTCAGAATAAGGGATCATATATTTAAGACAGAGATGAAGATGAATTTCTTCTTTCAGAGGGTAGTGAATCTATGGAATTTTTTTTACCACAGAGGGCTGTTGAGGCTTGGTCATAAAGCGTATTCAAGGCTGAGATAGACAGATTTTTTTTTAAAATCAGTAAGGGAATGAAGGGTTATGGAAAACGGGCAATAACATGGAATTGAGGATTGTCAGATCAGCCATGATCTCATTCAATGACGGAACAGTTTTCAGATGGGCTGAATGATCTTTTATTTTCTACATCTTATGGTCTGGTATTATATTTACCAACAGAAAAATCAATAAAACCCTCAGCTACAAAAGGAAATACCAAATACCAAAGTAGCCAGTTGAATGGTATTCCAGCCACAATTTTAGACATGCACTCCCTGCAATTAAGGCATTCTCTAGGTGCACATCTGCAAGGTAGGTTATAGTAATTTGCCAAAGGTTCTTTGCCAACTAGAAAGTTAAAGTTGCTAAGGTACAGAAATACTACTACTTCCAAGCTTCCCTTCAAGTCACACACCATCCTGATTTGGAAAAACAGTTACATTCCTTTATTGTCATTGGGTCACATTCCAGAAACTTCCTACCCTAATAACATTTTGGGTATACCATTACCATGGACTGCAGTAAATCAAGAAGGTGGCTCACCACAGTCATGCAAAGGACAATGATGGAGAAGCATTGACATCTACATCTTATGAATGATATTAAAAAAAAACTTAATGTCAAAAATCAGATTATAAAAGTAAAGAAAATGCATCAAGGACACAAATTTAATCATATTTAGATTGCAGTGTGCACAATAAGCATGGGTGGGTGGGGGTGCAGTTATTCAAATTAACGCTAATCAGTTACATCCCAAGCCCTTTGTCCTTCAATTGACATGTGAGCCCATAACTTTTAATTGGTAGTTTAAAGTATGAATTTGTGATTCGTCATGAAACTTCAAAACTGCAAGATAAACAGAATGTTATCACACATTAAACTGCACTACAATAGCAATAGGCACTGCCTAAAATTCATTTCTGGGCAAATCAAGGATGATTTAAATCTTCCACCTAGTTCATACCTATTTCAGCGCTTCAAAACATATAATAACTCTGCTAATTTCACTGTAATCTGTAACATTTGGAATGGCAGCCAAGGGTAATAAGGGAAACACCTATGGTTCCTTCCCTCTACCCAAAAGAAATTCTATACATCAAGAAAGTGACATACATCAGTCAAAGCTTGTTCCCCTCGTTCTTGTCCAGACCAATACAGACAATCAGTAAATAGGGCTGTATTACTCAAAACAGTTCATGTTTGCAGCATCATTTCTATCAGACTCCAAGAATTGTCTCAAGTTGAAACATCAAAAAAAAACAGAATGGACTTGAAAGGCCACACAGAGATAAATTTTAGGTACACTGAAATGATGAACCATCTATGGCAGTAAGCTGACATGCCAACTAAGGTATCAACAACATAAGGGTGCTGATTTATGTCGGGGCTTGGCACAACAGTAACCAGACCTTCTGATATGTTGTGTACATGATTATTCTATGTGTTCATTTGATTGGTAGTAACAAAAGATTGACTATGGACAATATCACAGCAAATTCAATTTTATCCTTACTGGCATCCACAAACATACAGTTTTCAGATCAAGTCACTGAATGGTGATCAGCAGCAGGAAGACTGCTTCATTTATTTCTTCAACAGAGATGTATTGTGGCTAAGTGCAGAAACCTAACTGCTCACCCATCTGAATGCAGCGAATTTAACATTGACCAAAGTACAAACCTGGGACACCATCAGCTTTCTAATCACTAAACATTACAAATAACATTCACATTGGTATCAATAGACTTTCATAATCATGATGTGTAAAACATATACCAAAAAGACAAACCAAAATACTACCTCTAGAATAAGTAAAGTAAGACAAGATTATAATGCATCATTATTTTGCAGCTGTTGTTTAGTTTTCTTTTTCAATAAAAATGTTTATTCTTGGCTTGTAATCCTGTAATAAATAAATACAAGCAGCACCATTCGTGATGTTAGAAAACATTCAGAAAAATACCTTAGCTCAAATTACTATTTTTATGTTTACGGAATGGTGTAGAGTGTTGGAAGTACATGGTGTA